AAACGAAAGGCTGATGAGAAAATTGATCAATTTAACATGACTGGATCTGGTATAAAACTAAAAGAAAACGATTGACATCGTTCATTCCACCATTAACTGCTAAAGTGAAAGCTGCGAAAAAACTTAGTCTAAAACCAAAAAATATCAAAGATATATTTTCAAACTAAATATGTCTTTCCTTCATAATCATTCTTGCGAGTGCGTTAAGTCAGAATTGGATTTGTTTGCACTACCGTCTACACAAACTAGCATTGAAAATGGATTGTGGATTCATTATAAACCAATTTCATCTCTTGGTGATGATGGACCTATCGAGTTTCAAGTTCCTGGGACCGGCGATGACTACATAGATTTGTCTCATACATTACTCCACATAAAGGCAAAAGTATTGAATCAAGATTCAACTAACTTGGTATCTACTACAATAGTAGCACCTGTAAATAATTGGCTGCATTCACTTTTTAGTCAACTTGATGTTTATTTAAACCAAAAACTTGTATCACCACCTAATAATACCTATGCATATCGAGCATACATGGAAACCCTTTTAAACTATGCCCCTGCTGCTAAACAATCTCATCTTACTTGTAGTCTTTGGTATGAGGATACAGCAGGAAAAATGGATTCTACAGATGGTAAAAACATAGGATTTGTTAAAAGACAGGAATTGATTAGTGAAAGTAAGGAAATAGAAATGATTGGTCATCTTCACGGTGACATTTTTAACCAAGATAAATTTTTAATTAATGGTGTTGAAATGAGTGTTAAATTGGTTCGATCAAGAGAGAGTTTTAATTTAATTGTTGGGTCGAACGATGTAAAGTTTAAAGTTTGCATTACGGACGCAACTCTTATTGTGCGACGAGCACGAATTAATCCAAGTGTATTACTCGCACATCAAAAAGTTTTAGCTTCTACCACTGCTAAATATCCTATTACTCGAGCTGAAGTAAAAGTTTTAACAATTCCTTCAGGTGTTCAAGGAAAAACTCTTGATAATATATTTTTAGGACAGGTACCGAAAAGATGTATAATTGGATTTGTGAACAATTCTGCATTTAATGGTTCCCTTACTAAAAATCCATTTAACTTTGAAAACTATGGTATTAATTCTTTCAGCTTATATATTGATGGTCAACAAATACCTTCAAAAGCTTTGCAACCATCTTTTAATAATAGCATATTTACATCAGCATATCATACTCTATTCTCGGGAACTGGTATTCACTTTCTTAATGAAGGAAATGGAATCTCTTGTGAACAGTATGGCAAAGGTTACTGTCTATTAGCATTTGACTTAACTCCTGATTTATCAGCTAACTCATCAACTCATTGGAATCTCATAAAGCATGGTAGTGTAAGAATAGAAGTACGATTTGAATCCTCATTAATACAAACAATTAACTGTATAGTTTATGCTGAGTTTGATAATATTATTGAGATAGATAAAAACAGAAATGTTACTGTAGACTATAGTAGTTAAGGTTATAATATGTGTTGTGTGTTAGATTTTATGTGTTATGTGTAATGCATTTTGTGTGTATGTAACTATGTGAAACGTTATAAAATTAAATAAAACAAATTGTATGCAATATATTTTTTTTATTTCTTTATAAATCTTCTATTTAATCTAATACAAAACACTGTTCGAGTTGAAATTTTACATAAGCACACTGACTAAACCACTGAACATGCTGCTGCCAAGGATCATCATCATCTTCCCAATCTTTTAAACCACCACCACAATGGAAACACTTGGTCCCGTCTGCATGGCCAGTATAAAAGAAACCAGCTTCGGCAAGATCTTCAGGTTTCTGTCGCATAACTAGAGGCCAGTTTTCGAAACTAAGCAAACGGCTAGATTTTGAACTGAAGAATGGATATTCAGCTCTTGAGTACTGCATACTCTTCTCGTTTTCTTCTCCACTCAGTGTTGTAGTTTTGTTATTCAATGATGTGTTTTGTACACGTATGCCACACTCATCTCTTCCTTCCGCTCTTGTCTTCCTGTAATTGAAGTAAACAGAATCACATTCACTAATGATCAGCTAATGACTGTCATTGTTAAAAAAGTATTTTTTAACTTTTTCACTTTCTGCTATTGTCTTTGTTATATTGTATACGAGGGCGTTTGTATTGTCGTAGATGCTATCCTTATTAGTCTTTACGTAATATTTAATTCTCGTGGAAGCATGTTTCCAATGATCAGTAGTTGGAATCTTGGATAGCTTCTTCATATCGTACATTTCAATTTTGATGAGATGCGTCGCTTGGTCTCCGTCGTCAGAATTAGTAGAAATGTATGATACACCATCTCTAGCGGCTCGTGCTACGGTTGATGATAACAGCTTCCTCTTTTTTATTTTTGATTCAGCTTCAAAAAAATGATCAATCGATTGCGATTTTCTTTTTCCACCATCGCATGTGTTATTATTAATGACGAGGTTATCACTCTCTTCTTGAGGGGAGAGTGGCGAGTAGTAATACTGTTTATAGGTATCTTCATCGAAGCTCAATGATTTCTGCAACAACACAGTTATCATGTTAATATCAATTTGTTAACACTTAATCATAAAAGTTAAAAAAGTTAAAGTTACAGCCTATTAAAGTCCACTGCTGAACATAGGCCTCCTCTCATTTCTGAGAGGGTTTTAGAGCAAGGAAATGTCCGCCGCGCTCCCTCAATGTGTGTTGGCGAACTTCACATGCCTTCGAAATTTTCTCAGACATGCAGGTTTCCTCACGATGTTTTCCTTCACCACCAAGCACGTGGTAATAAGCACTTAAAATTGCTATTAACAATTTAATTGGTGCTGGCGGGGATCGAACCCGGGTCGCGTACTGTGAAATTTACAGCTAGCGCTAACCATCTGAGTTACCACGGCTTAATCATATACATACACAATATTTAAATAAAATAATACACACACATGAAAATAACAGAAAAAAAGTAATTTAGTCAATAGAATAAACACTTACATCCATAGCCTTTGGTGTATTGTACTATTGATAGATCCACTGTAGCCAAACGACCGTACACTAACTCGATGATTGCGTTTGTTGGTCTTATATACCACCAGTACGTAAAAATTCTAATCTAAAGTATTTCCGTAATGAGTTGATAATTACTTTATGCGTCAACCAGTTTATCTCACATTTCCGTTGCCTATCTCAACATTTCTTCGTATTGTGTTTTGTTTGGTGATCAATGACTCAAGTACGATTTGTATAACACAAAAATGCAATTTAATATTTAGAAACATATCAGTTTATCTCACATTTCCGTTGCCTATCTCAACATTTCTTCGTATTGTGTTTTGTTTGGTGATCAATGACTCAAGTACGATTTGTATAACACAAAAATGCAATTTAATATGTAGAAATCACTATAATTGACCATTCCTATGTTATTCATTGAGTAGATTGGTACTGTAATCATCTACTAATAGCAGTAATATCATGGATACACTAGATGTACAACAACATCTGAAAAAGATTCACCCCAGTCTAGAAAATAATGTTTATGCAGCTAATAGACTGCCTATGTATACCCACGTACCAACGTATATAATATGTAATTTGGATACAGATGATAAACCAGGGTCACATTGGGTAGCTTTATATATCGATACGAATGACGTCGGTCAATATTTTGATTCATATGGACGATCACCTGTACGATATCATCTAGAGTTTTTAAAAAGGAATTGTAAAAGATGGAACTGGAATGTTGATAGGATTCAGAATGAGTGGACTTCAGTGTGTGGCGAATATTGCTTAATGTATTTACTATATAAGTTTCAAGGATGTTCAATACATAGTTTTACGAGTATATTTACAAGGAACACATTGTACAACGATATTTTAGTGGATGAGATGTTTCGCTCCTATTTTATAGATAATAATTAATAAGATTTTGTATTTTATAAATAAAAATTGTAACAAAATTATGTAATGTGTTTTATTGATGATTCAGATTAGCGTTGTATAAACAAAGAACTATAACACAATAGCACTGATATAGTCGACGCACACGCTGCAATGAAGGTGATTAAGGAACAATAGAACAATAGAAATAGGAACAATGGGACGCTAATGACGGTGGAGGCCCTTACCGGATATCAATTAGATATTAGCTAATTGATCTACACATCTCCGGAACCGTGCATTCTACACAAAAATGGACCGCGGATTCGTGATCAGAGCATGCCAAAACTTTTTTTTTTTTTTTTTAGGATCGGGCGTCGACGAACGTCGTTGAACCACGTCTGACTCAGGTGGTCTAGAAGTGGTACAACTACACTACTCTCGTTTGCCACCTCTCCTATAAAAAAAAAAAACAAATTTTCCATAGAATTTGCACGGGAATACTGTTTCATGAAGTCAAAGTTTAATATATTTTAAAATAATAAAGTATTTATGTAGAGCTATGCTGCAACTATATCTCGTATGGTGAGTGTAGAGAACCGAAGATCCTTTTTACTGCAAACGAGGTATTCCATCTTAGTAATCACGGGTGTCAACGCATCTGCATTTTGATATGTAAACGATGATAGATGTAGATAGTAATAGATCTATAGGCCACAGTAACCAGTAACCACTTAGCATCAGCTGGACTGTGTGGTCGTTTGTCAACCTTATCCCATATTTTTTTTAAACTGTTAAACGTAGCAGATACAAAATATAAACGTAATAGTTTATATAAGTTATCAAGTACCGAATTACCAATATATCAGAAAAAGCTCAAAAAGTCAAAAGTCTTAATGTATTAAATAAAAACAATATTGTTACGTAAATAAGGATATAATTGCCATTTCGTTTATGTGTATATAAATTCGAATTTTTAAATCAATTTTTTTTTTCAATAGCAAAGGCTGATAAAACTTGATCATTGAGATCATTTTTCGATACAATTCTAACTTCATGTTGTGATTAATGTGTATTGATTTTTTTGTGATTATTATTATTGTATTAGTTTTAACTGTTTGTTCGTTTGTCAGGTCCAATTGGTCCGCCTGGCCTCGACGGTAGAACCGGAGAACGTGGTGATCCCGGCTATCCAGGTAGTGTAATGTAATTATGTATTTCTTCTTTTTCAACAGCCACTGCTGGACATTGGCCTTGATTGCCACACTGCATCATCATTATTACAGCCCTTCACAAGTCCACGGCTGAACATAGGCCTCCCCCAAGGAATGCCACAAAGCACGGTCCTGAGCCACCTGCTCGACTATCTCTATCGATTTCCTGCATATCTTACCAGGTCGTCACTCCATCTAGTGGGGGGACACACTGCATGTGGACTGGCAATAACGATATCAGACATTTCGTACCATTGACGCTCATACATTGGTTTGTGTATTTTACGTTCGGTGTAAATTAGTTGGTTATACTACTATCCATAAGAAGCTATGAAGCTATGAGATCTTTTTAGTATTAACCATAGTCGCCCGTTACAACACCCATGGGACGAAATTGGTCAATGAATTTTCTTACGCGGCCACAACTCACCTAATTGAATATTGATTTACAACAATTCTGATTTGTAACCAATTTTTGATCTGGAACTATTATTTATGATAAATTAGTATATCGAAAACAATTTCTTATGTGTTATTTTTGATTACAAAACCTTTTTTATAATGATGGCATCCACGACATTTTCAGCCACCAGGGCGGCGCCACTTAAGAGTGAGGTTATAGTATTTGACAGATTTCATAGCAGGGAAATTAATTTGTTCGGAAAATGTAAACGTTAATGTTTTTTTTTCTTTCTACTATTAGTTATATTTTATATTAATAAGATTAAAAATAAATAAACCAAACCACAGATATTCATAAAAGTAGAAATATTTAGAAAAAGTTAAAAATGTGCAAAATAATTTAAGAACACAGGCATTCTTTTGTGTAATAATATAATACTCTAGAAACTAATAAACTTTTATTAAAAACTAGTTTCTCAATTAAATGGCATTGTGTAACGAAAAACTTTACCTCAGTGTCAACTAGTGACATCTAGTGAGCAGAAAATTATTAGCCCTCATTGTAATGGATAGATTTAGGTTTATTTCTAACTAGCTGTTCCCCGTAACATCGCCCGTGTGGATTTTTTTTGCGCGGAACCCTAAAATTAAAGTAGCCTAAGTTACTCCTTATAATATAAGCTATCTGCCAGGGAAAGCCCCATCCAAATCGGTTCACAGGTTTTTGCGTAATACGTGTTCACGCCAAAATAGTTCGCAGATGACAATTGTTCTGTAGTTTTTGCGTGAAAGAGTAATCAACATCCATATATCCTCACAAACTCTCACATTTATAATATTAGTAGGATCTTCTACACGATACTCTTGAGCTAACCACTGCTGTGTTTTGTGTTGCTGCAATCGCTGCTATTTTTTTATTAACTATGCCCCATACATAGAATTCTATGGCCCCATAATTAAGTATTATTATGTCTTCATTTTTTTGGAACAAAGTTCCTTATTGCACTGTACGGACTTGGCTGATGGGAGCTAAGCGAAAAAAAGTGTAATGCCGGGTTTCCACGCTTGCCAAGTCTCGGCAAGCAACCACAAGTACAAGTGTGTAAAGAGGGCGTTTGGCTTGGCTTGCGTGAGCTTGTGGACGCTTGTCGCCGATCCGAGCTAGTGTCGGTTTTTGGACACAGATCAAAGGGCGCTTGCGGCAAGCGCTTGCAACGCATTCACACGTTGGTGCGCGTTTAGTAGAAATTGTGATTTCACGACGAGCACATGTTTAGTTCTTTGTTTAAGGCGCAGATTGAGCAAAATGTCGCGCCAGTCGTTATTTGGGCGGTTTTTAGAAGCTATCTACTTTTTATTTAAAAGATATATCAACAAATAAAAAACACATTATATTTCTACATAATCTTGATTCCATAAAAGCTATATCCAATTTTTTTTTAAAGGAATAAATATTAATATAATCTCCTTACAACGAAACCACATAAATGTGAAATTATTATTGATAACATGCATCTCCTCGTAAAGTAAGTATTATTTTATTTTGCGATTTACACCAATGGATAGGCAATTTATTAATGAACATTTCTATAGTAAATTTTTTTTCAAAAGACCAATATTTGATTTTATTAAGAAATTATTTTAAAATCTGGGCATATTTCCTGCTCACGGGCTTGTTGAAGTCAGTGAGCGCTGAGCTCTTCGACGTGAAGCCCGTGTCGTTAGAGCGTCGACCAACGCATACGCCACGTCATATGAGTCGATAATATTATTACTTATTAGGTTATTTATAGGTAGTATTATTTGTTTGTTTTGGGTATAATTTTTCGTATTAGTTATACATATATTTGTTGTGCTTTTTACTGCGCGATGAAGCTTTTTGCGTGTATTTTCTTTGAAGTAAATGCAAATAAAAAAATGAAGCACCATTAGCATGTAAGGTTCGAATCCATAATTAAAATTTCGACAAATATTATAATTTACACTATAAAAGGCTAATTCAATATTATCACCCAACCACAATATCTTATCAGGTATAGTGCTGCCTCGTTGGTCTAGTGGTTGTAGTAGTGCGACTGCTGATCATGAGGTCCCGGGTTCGAATCCTGGGTCGGGCCAAAAAGTCAGTTATGAGTTTTTCATTTATGTTCTAAGTTATAATTAGTATTACTAAGTTATAGTTTATTGCTAAAATATAGTATATTATTTATTGCTTGTTTTTTCTTCTTTTTCAAAAAATAATTGAGTACATAAGGTGTTCTATACTTATAATTCGGTAAAAAGTATCTAAGTAGGTACTAATATACCTACTTTTTACTATTAACTAAAAATTTTTAAAACTAAATTTAACTAAAAAGACTAAACTGACCATTTATTTTTTAACTCATAACAGGACATGGGTTTATTTATACTCTAAAAACTATAACTTTATACAATTAGTGTTCACTATAAAATTATATTCGGTATAGACGGTAATTATTAAATGCAACATATTTTTTTTAATTATTAATTACATTTGTCAGTGGATTAAATTTGCTGTAATAAAGTTGGTGATGATTTTAAATAAGAATAAAATTCTGCTCAAGTTTTTTATTGTTATCTTTGTTAACAACATCGCCTTTAGAACTCTGGAACCGTAAGTGTTTCTTTCAGACGTCCACAATTTATGCAAAATAAAAAAATACTCTTTCTACCGGAGCATTCGTACCAGGTAGACATAAAATATATTCGATTAAAAAAAACTATGTTGAAGATTGTTGACTTTGAATACTTCCATCCAACGAGTTACGGGACAATTTTGTGTCCCGGAGCTTTGTTTGGGGACAATGGGACAGGAGACCGAGAAAAGGGACAGTCCCGTTCAAAACGGGACGTATGGTCACTTTAGCTATAACCCGGCGACCATGAAGCAAATACAAAGTTAGTTTTTGTATTAGCTTCATGGTGGCGCAGTGGCTTAGCAATCAGTTGTTGCGCTGGGGGCCGCGGGTTCGAATCCCGCATGGAACAAGTATTTGTATGGCCTACAAATAATTGTTCCGGGTCTGGATGTTTGTCTTTGTGCAATATTTATGTTTGTAAACTACCTCCACGACACAGGAGAAAATCCTAGTGTGGGGGTAACGTTTTTTTACAACTGAAATTGAAAGATTGAACCCTTATACTTCTTGTTGATTTTTGTATTACCTTTATTAAAGTTATCCTTATGTATAAATAAATATAATTACGTATGTAGAAATAAAATTGATTTTCATCCTCATCAATCATTGGGGTGAGGATAATATCTGCTAGCATAAGTAATAAGCAGGCTAAGTTACAAGGTGCTCAGTTCAAAAATTAGTAGGTAACTTCTCAATACGTGACACGTAAAAATTAACAATAATCAAAAACACATATATGCGAAACATCCTATTTATTTATTTATTTTTTATTGCACCAAATATTTGTACAAAAGCCGAGCTATCTATTTATTTACCTATAGTGAATAGGTATCTTTTAAACTCACAATTTTCAATGCTTCAGTTTTAATATATAATTAATTATAAAATTTCATAATTAGATAATATATGAAAATACATAATTCTAATATAATGCAACTAATATATACAGAATAAAAAAATTAAAATACATTTATCTTTGTACGCTATGTGTATTTCCATAAAATAGTTTATTGATGTTGAAAAAATAATACTACTTTCGCACAATAGGTGGCGTCTTACATATTTCTTCCGGCGAGCCGCTCGCTACAGCTACGCTTAGGTCAAATGCTCAAGGTCGTTCGCATGGAGTAGCCCCTTAAAATGAGTGACTGGTCGAACGAAGAGAGTTTATCGTTTCTGGAATATTACCAGACCGAATCGTCTATCTGGAACCCCAAAGACGTTAATCATAAAAATAAAAAGAAAGTTGCAAATGCTTGGAGTCGTCTTGCCGAGTTAACGGGAAAGCCAGTAAAAGAATTAAAAGCCAAAAATTCCTTGTGTTTGTATTACTTTGCTTGTATTTCAAATAATAGTATGTTAAACCAAACGCAATAGTCGACACAAGTTCGGTGTCCGCCATGCTTGGATATACGTAGCACACTGACGCATTCATAAGCATGTAAACAACTTCCAAACGCCAAACGAGATTTGTGAACGCTTGGGGCTTGAAGACGTTTGCCGAGGCTTGGCAAGCGTGGAAAGGCACAATTAGAGTTTTCCGTCACGACCTTGGAACCTATAAGGAAGCGAGATGGCATAATATCCATCTCCCTCGCACTGTTTCTTACCTTTTATTGGTATTCTCATCTGTGGCATTCCTTGGGGGACACCTATGTTTAGCAGTGGACTTATGAAGGACTGTAATGACGATGATAATGTCTTCAATATAATCTCACTTTTCACGTATCTTATTTACGGTTTTACTTTTTCAGGTCCAGTTGGCCCTCGAGGCGTTCCTGGTCCCAGAGGAACTTGTGACTGTCCTGTGGCTGTATATTATGCTTATTCACCAGTTGGCAATTTTAAGGGTCCGTAGCCATGTCGAATTCGTGAATTATTAAAATTTTGTAATTCAAAGTCAAATTACTGGTAAAACTGTTTAAAATAAAAATATTTTTTATAAAGTTGTTAATAGTACGTTTTAACAAATTATACTTTTTTTAAACACTTTCTCCAGAAGAATATAATAACATTAGGCTGTCTGTATAATTATTTCAAAGCTAAGTTGTATTCATTTTGTAAATTATATAATTATTATTTCAAACGTCTTGTACATTGTTTTTATATATTATTTTACGGCTAAAAGCCGAAGCAGGTGTCACCTGGGTTTAGCCGGCTACAATTCGTGCAGCCAATTGGTTAAGGCGATATTACACGGATCAACCAAGTTGAAACAATTCCATTGAAAATCTTTGAACATTGCACATTGAACGGCTTTACTAATATACACGTAAACCATTTAAATGACTTTCAACATTCACAGCGCAATGAGATGTCGCGCCAACTCGTACGTGCGGGAATTTCGTTAAACTGCGACTATTTAATAAATGACTTGATTAATTTAAAAAAAAAGAAAATCCTGGCCTTGTTGGCTGCGCCAGTGGATTTCGAGAAGGATAACTAAAGGAGCCTCAAGCACCTTATTAGTAGAATTGGCAGATGAAGATCCAAATTCTTATTTGAACCATTTGCGAATGACAGAAAGTCAAAATAATGAACTTCTTAAAACCCATTTTCACGTCCCTTGAAAACTATTTTTCAAAAATCCATGTGTGCACGCTAAATAAGTGTCGTGCAGTGCGCGGAATGAGTCACCGTTCCATTTTCATGTACCTATACACGTTTCAACCGCAATGAACAATGACCAATATTGCTACCACATACCATTGCATTGAAAGCGTTCGGTGAATCTAAGCTTTCAATGAGATTGCACAATCGCATTGAAATGTATTCAGATGTCTCAATGCCATTGAAGCAATGAAATTGAAAGCAGCATGGAACCGAAATTGATCCGTGTAATATCGGATTTAGTTAAACTTATATGTACATAAAAATGTCCGCAGTTTTGTTGGGCCAGCCGCACCATCTACTGCCGATGATATTACTTGATATTTTTGGTTTCGTATTTTTAACAAATTTAACAGAGGTCATAGTTATGAGTCTACTGTCGCTGATATTACTTAATAGTTGCTTTTGTATTTTTGACAAAGTTAATGGGAGTCATAGTAATTTTATTTATTATTCAGACTTTATATAACTTGAAAGCAATCGGTTACACCAAGTTTAAGCCATGAATAAATCAAATACACCTAACATTAACGAACAGCAATCGGCTGCACCTAATTGTAACTTAGGTGTGACATATCTACCTAGCAAAATTTTATATTTTTTGAATCCAACTACAGTAGAACGCCGATTATCCGAATTAATTGGGACCGGGGTCGATTCGGAAAATCGAAAATTTGGATAATCGGACATAGACTGGTATGTAATAAAGAAAAACGAACTGTCACACATAGAATAAACTTTATTAAGTTTATAAATGGTTTTAAACTTTATAAAGTTTTGTAAAGTGTAAAACCAGCTACACCCATTTTTTCACTGAACATTCGCGCCTTTTCGCATAAAATCGATCCTCAACTCGGTTGTCCAATAGATCGTTGCTGCAGAAACCACGTAAAAACAGCATTGTCAAGCTGTTCATCCTTTGCCTTTTTCATTACTTTTTCGCGACGAACATCCATCACCAGTTTTCGAACGCAATCACAAAACTTAAAATTTTATTACAGTTATTTTTAATATCAGTTAACCAAGTACTGTAAATAACATTACTTACAGTACTTGGTTTTGATTTTTTATATTACGCTTAGGACCGATTCGGATAATTGGCGATTCAGTTAGTCGGCGTTCGGATAATCGGCGTTCTACTGTAAATGTCATTGGAATAACAAATAATCTGGCTTAAACAAGCGGTACTATTATAAGCGCTGACATTCCCAGATGTCAATATGCGCAGTAAACGTTGTTAGGTTTGGTGGAGGGTATGAGCTGAACTGCAGGGGATGCGACACTAATCCCGGTGCCCGATTGGTTCGTTATTTGTTCAGCAGACAGTGGTTGGTGCGAATTCTATACGAGCTTGAAGTGCAATATCGTATAATTGGATAAAATAAATTAATTTGCGCAAATTGTTCCTAACAAAAATGTCTAGCGCTCCAAAAGTGTACCGACTTCTATACTTGTTTATCATTGAGACACAAAAAGATGTACTTAAATGGAATAAAAACGATTAAGAACTGATATTGTTTTCTTCACATATCGTCCTGTGGCTCCGGTAGAAAGCAACAGAAGGAAAGATGTGATTGATTTATTTTGATTAGATATTCCTCTAGATAGCTAGTCAAGTTATGCAGAGGCCGGAGGACGTTTTAAAAATACTAATTTATTAATTGAAAGATGTTTAAACGCTACAAGAACTCGCTTAAGACTAACAAATTCTATGCTTAGAACAAATGCATGAGAGCCCACGCAGGAACTCGGCAGTTTCCGTTTGTCCACTCAGCACATGCCTGTGGTCTGCAATCAGAACATTCTGCTGATGCAGACAACTTAGTGGGTCCCGTCACCCGTAACAAGCTTCCTAATAACAATTACAAAATAAAAAACCTTTTTTTATAGGATAATGAGACAAACGAGCACACAGTCCACCTAATGGTAAGTGGTTGCTGTGGCCCATAGACATCTACATCTATCCTCAATAAAGAATCAAAATGCAGATGCGTTGTCACCCGTGAGGACTAAGATGGAATGCCTATTTTCCAGTAAAAAAGGTAAGTTCAAAAATGGCTGTGTATGAATTAGAATTATGTGTAATGAATGAATGAATGAAAAAAATAAATTTTTTAACAGTTTTACTATAAATATTGGCGAGATTTGGAAAAAACAATGCCAGGAGTTTGTCTGCATGATAAAATCCGTAACGGGGATAACTGTAGAAGAACAAGGGTTTACTGACAGTCCATCGGATCAGTAAGCTGAAGTAGGAGCTGCTATGGAGCTTGGTACCCGTTCAGTTAACTCTTTTATCGGTGAAGCCACCAAACCCGTACGTCGTTTGTACTAAGATTTGTCAATTTTATACATTAATGTTTTTGGTAGGCTTTAAATGCCATGGCACGCCTCATAACGCGAAGCGTGATTAGGTGTGCATTACTCTTGACAAGTCAAAGTCAAGCAATTTTGTGTTCTCAAAATGCTTCTATCATAACCATATTGCAGCCGTATATCAAGAAAACACTCGAATTAATCCATTTTATATTTTCTAAAAAATCATTTAATATTGCTATTTTGAAAAAAAAATTTAGGTGGACATACGGATGTTGTTTTTTACGCGGTCACGATATCTCCCGAAAAAATTGACGTATCGAGACCGGTTTTTTTATTAAGCTAATAAAAAACCGTTCCCTTTTTTTTCATATCAATAGCCTAGTACGCATAGTTTGTTAATAAAATGATTTTCAAGTTTTATTGCTATTAAAAATTTAAAGGCGCTTTCATATTTTTTTAGCCCTGGGAAGACATAGGACAAATGTACCAGATATCGATTTTATACTTTGTGTAATCGATTTATTTTGGGGAACATCATTAATTTTTTTACCTGTAGGTGACACTACCTGTTAAAATAATATAGCTCTAAATTTACAACACTTAGATAATATATTTTAAAAGTCAGGAATACAATTAATTTTTTTTATCAAAATTAAATGAAATGCTCATGAGGCGTGCGCTTTTAGATTTTCCAAACTATTCTTAAATATATACGTTTTACTTGGTAGAGCCATGCTGTAGCTACATATGTCATTGTGTAGCACGAATGGGTTGGTTGGACCGGGGAAGGAACACGCTCTCAAAGAATACCAGCGTAAAATAGCAGCTCCCTGCTGTTGTTTCATATGGTGAGTGCAGACAACCGGAGACCCTTTTTAGTCTTCAGGGGTGGCAACGCATCTTGTCTATGGGCCTACAGCATCTACTTACATCAGGTGGACTGTGGGCTCGTTTGTCACACTTATTCTATAAAAAAAAAAGAAACGAGTAATAGCATTCGTCGATTTATGTTGTTGTTGTTTTCTATTTTCTTAATACAACCTTGATCTAACCTTCACTTGTTGCAAAACATAATCGTAAAAATATACGCATGGCAGCATCAAGGCAGTGATAAAAAGATATAATTTCTTGTCTACTGAACATTGTTTACAGACAGTGTTTGTATTTCAAGGCTTTGTAATTTCTTTATCTTTCATTTACCGGCTCGTAAAAAATCCACTGCCAGATATAATTTTTCTAGTTGTAGGCAAAGAGAATATTATAATCACTACGTTTAGTTGTAGGGAGGATTTACCTTAAGGCCGATTTACACTTCGACAAGGACAGCAGCGTGTTAGCGCTTTATGATATATAACGTAAAACTTACCCCGATGACCCACATGCGCTTACATTGTACGAATTCATACATTCGCAAACTTAGCGGATATGCAAATCAGTTCACATACTCAATTTGCGAACCCGTTTGCGCGTCCTTCTACACTTGTTTGCGAATGTCTCAGTCTTCTCTAAAATTTGTCTTCTTTTTTAATTCGCCAATGTTCCATACATTGAATAGAAAATAATTTTTTAATTCTTTCCCAGGCGTCATTAACGGCCTTTCTGTTTTTATGGGATTTCTTTAGAGTATCCCATATGGTCGATTCATTCTGCAGGAGTTCAATGAACACCATCACGTTGGTGTTCTTCTAATCCACGATGAAGTTAGTTTAAGTAGGCTACACAGTAGACGTCACGAACTATGAAAATGGTGAAACGTCCGTTACTTTCGCAATCGTGTGCGCAACTGGTCGCACGAATGTGTGGGAGAGTATGCGAAGTATCGAGTTCGTGCGCTTTGATGTCCGTTAAAAGCCGACACAGCTTGGAAAACCGCAAATGCAGCAAAAACTTTGCATAATAATTTGCAAATGTCGTCCTACACTTGTGGGTTTGCGTATTCGTGCGAATGTGAATGACCGGTGTTAATAGTTTGCATTGACCGTGAAAACACCACAAATATAGCGTCTGGCATTCGCAAACAGTTTGTAGAAAGTTTTCGCAAAGAACATGTGTAGTGTAGATGTAGCCCACACGACATAATAGTATATATTGATGTTAGTAGTAGAGTAGGTAGAGTAGTACAATTAAAGAAATAGGGAGATCAACACTTCTCCTTCTCATTGACACCTTTCCAATTACACATGTGTGGCGTCCACACGCCGTCTTTAACGTACATGCTTGATATGAGAAAATGAAGCATTTGTGTAAGCGATTTATACGGTATAATGTTTTGCCGGCTTAATAATACATGCTTGCTTGAGCAAATTAGAATCCGTGCAAGTAAGCTTGAGTGTTTAGCCGGGCCTTTAGAGTATACGAGTACATAAATATAGCTTGCTTATGTAGTCTAATAAAAAATAAATATAAAAAGATTGTGTGCGTTTGTGCGTGCGAGTGCGAGCGCGCGCACGCGCGCCTATGTGTGTGTATGTGTGTGTATGTGTGTGTGTGTGTGTGTGTGTGTGTGTGTGTGTGTGTGTGTGTGTGTGTGTGTGTGTGTGTGTGTGTGTGTGTGTGTATGTGTGTGTGTGCGCCAGTGTTCATGCGTGAAACTGTGTGGTATGTATTTGTGAAACTTATGCCAGCACCCTTTACTATATATTTCTACTCCGCCACTACATGGTAAATAATTGAAGCAAAGTGTATCAACCACTACGTGTGGATTCAAGCAAGAAACAAGCTAGGAAAGTAAATAAACTCCTTGCAAGCTACACAGACAATGACAAAACCATAACTACAAATCTATTGATTGAGTCCTGTTAATCCAATTTTTTTTTAAATTTCAAGGATTATAAACGTGATTGTAAGTAAAACATAGTGATTATATAATCACATCGTTTACGTATTTTTACATAATTTTAACCTGTCAATATTTTTATTTTCATTAAAATTTCGGTGTTTTTTATACTCCATCTATTCTATCTATACTCTATACTCTATCTATCTATTTTTATATAAGAGACACTTTTATATAATAATAGAAAATTTTATTCATACTAAACTAGTTACCGGATTGTTTACAGAAATATAACGACCATGAATGATGGTAAACACCATTAAGTCGGGGCGACGTGTTTTGATTACAAATACTTGGATATTGCTTGCTACGTTCAGCTCATATTTAGATCGTCTATCTATAGTTTTATAGTAGTTTTATTGATTCAGTTATCAAACATTACAGCAATTTTAATTCCATTTACATTTATAATGAAAAGGAAATTGTGTTTGTATTGAACGCTACTACGCGACCCCGCTTCATCATTGTTTACGTCATTACTGCCTATTACAAGTCCACTCTTGAACAATTGCCTGCTCCATAGTTTGCCACAAAGCTCGCTCCTGAAGTCCTTTACTTTGACCACGGAGCAATCTTATCTATACAAATAAATAAAATTGAAGTGTCTGTCTGTAATGTCAAAATAACAGCTTTTTACTAAATGTATATAAAAGTATATATGGTACTTATAACAAAAAACCAATTTTTAAAAATTTTGTTTGTCTGTCGGTTTGTTCCGGCTAATCTCCGAGACGGCTTGAATGATTTTGACGGGAGTTTCATTGGAAGAAAGCTGTTATATAGAGTAACTTAAGCTGCTTTTATTTCAGAAAAAATAATTTAGGTTCCGGGCAATAAAATTAAAACCCATGAAGTAATACATTTCACGCGGGAGAAGTCGCGAGGAACAGCTAGTACTTATATAATTTTTACTATTATAAGCCAGTGCTTGATTACTATCTTGATACATATTGCTTGATATATCACCTGATAGCAAGTGGTGATGTAGCCGAAGGTGGAAAAGTGCACTGATTTAGCATAACGAAAGCCTATTCATTCTTGCTTTGAAGACAGCCGCATTGTAATCAGAAGTAAATACAGATGCTCTATAGAAAGAATTATTCCACTTTGTGCTTGTCGGTGTGAGGTCGCTACTCGAAAATCTTTCTTTTCCAAGATTTTTACATGTCATGGCGCCCATTTCTACTTCATCTTTTTTGATATCTGCTGCAAATAAGTTTTAAATATTTTGTAATAAAAACTACCTAAGCATAATGTTGTTATAGCTCGCTGAGCGTTTCTTCTTCAAACAATCAGCAGCATAGGTTATGTATTATATAACATATTCTGCTGTTGTATACAGTCAATAGTGTATTGGTTACGAAACCACGGTTCTAAACCAATCCTATCCTCTTTTATATGTATATATATATAAAAGAGGATGTTTGCATAATATGCAGCTATATATGAAATCCTTTAGATCGATCACCATGAAAATTGGTATATGTATGTATTTTTCGATGGAGAAGATTTATATTCATAAATTTAAAAAAATAATAAAAAAAAAATTAGAAACACGCAAAATTTTAAATTTTTGAGTTTGTTTTTTTTTTCAATCGAGCGTGGCAATTAATAAATTATTATTCTTACAGTCTTTACTTGCCGCATCCCATTTGATAAAATAACTTTAACGGAAAATCCCCCATAAGTCTGCTGTTTTCTTAATATCAATAGTTTTAAAATATTTAACGATATCTTTTAGCAATACTCTATGGAATTTAAAAGTATTTAAACAAGCCTTTAGATTTTGTTTAAGCAATGATTCGGCAACAATAGAAGAAGAATTTAATGATTTTTTGTCAAAAAGGAACATCAGTAAAATGTTTCTCAAAAGCCATAGCAACTTCTTGATCAGATCGAGTTAAATTATTGTTAAAATTCAATTGAAAATCCGAGTTGCTCGGTTTGATCTTGCCCGTTTCAATATTTATTATTCTCCAGGCATCGATCACTAAGATCGATGTCTCCATGTCATTTTAATTTTGTTGGATGCAATTTTAATTTTGTTGCTTAAATGCCTTAGCTGTACGCACACTTTTTAAATATTTTAGAATATGTTTATCATAATTCATAATCTCTAAATATAGATAACACTAATATTATATGATCTTTCATTATAAAGCTCGTATATACTTCGCTTACTTTTATAAATTCCTACTGTCGCCCAGTCATTTAATTATTTACGGCTAAGAGAAAGTTTTAGAAGTAAATATTCTCCTGAATTTACAACTTATAATTTTAAGTAACGCACCATATAAATAATCAACACTATTTTTAAATGAAAGTTATAGAAATCTTTTTATTAGCTATTACTTCTAAACCTCTCCAAGCGATGTTCATTTATTGGAAAAAACACAACTTTCTTATTTTTGTGTTTTTTGTGTATATAAGGCAATAAGATCACTGTCGACAGAGATCCGAACTTAAATTATGAATAATTGATTTATGCAAGGGCTTAACATTTGTAAAAATGTTATCTATACAGGTCGCACTAGGCCCGGCAATACGTGTTGGTTCTAATAATAAATTAACAAGATTATACAATTTAAACAATGAGTTAAACTGAATACTAATAGAAGAAGTTTCAAGGAGATTGATGTTAAAGTCTCCACATATTACAACAGACTTGTTGTAATAACATGTATATTATCCAAAGAGTATTATATAGTCCATACGTATTATGTACATAGACTAAAAATATAGGTTTGTAAAATGAACGACAATCAGTTGTCATGTTGATAAGAGTTTGATTCTTTGATTTGTCCTGTATTTTTTACACGATTGACATATTATGGAAGATTGTTAATAATTCTACTATTTCAATTTTTCGCGCATTACATTGTATATATGGATCATTTTATTTGAGTTAAATACTAATTTTATTTCGTGAGCCAAGTAAGTAACATACATGTATTATTATGTTAATAAAAAGTAGGCTTTATATAATGATTTCTTATATTTACGCGAACACTACACATTTAAATAAAACTAATTTTACGGATTTTATCGCGTATATTAACTTATTTTATATTCCCGACGTTTCAAGTACTTTACAGCACTCATGGTCACGGGGGGGACTGAGGTGTATGACGTCCCAATGTCATAGTTAACCACGGCTACCTCCAGATTAAAAATTATTAATTTTTGTTCCGATCTACGCAGTATGAACTTACAGTATCATGAAGTCTTGCAGTTGTATGCTTGGGTTGGGATTTAATTTTATTAATTATGGGATCCCAAGCAGATGGTAGCACCCAGCCATCTTCTCTATTGAAATTAGGATGTTTCTTGATTTCAATAGCCTCGCGAATCATCCTTGGAAGGAATCGGTGTTCTTTAGCGAGGATTTGTGGTCTATCAAATCTAATGTAGTGACGGGGGCGATCCTGTACATGTTCACAGACTGCAGACTTCCCGGAGCGTCTATTCTTCACATCAGCTATGTGTTCTTTAACGCGGGTTTTGATAGATCTTTTAGTTTGTCCTATATAAGAGAGACCACATTCACAATCAAGCTTGTACACTCCTGCATCTTGCAGAGGAATATTACACTTGACTGATGGTAAAAACTATATATATAAAATAAGTTAATATACGCGATAAAATCCGTAAAATTAGTTTTATTTAAATAGGCTTTATATATTTTTATTGTAAAGTATTTTTCGTAAATAATTTAGTCGTATTGCATACGCAAAGCACAAGTTATATTCTCTGCGGTGTTGGCCAAGTTGACTTCCTAAAATGGTTAACACTAATTATAAAAACTATAAAAATTAATGGAAATTACACACATTTATATTTATGATAGTCGGTGATGGGGATGACCAGGAATGACATATTTCAACACTGTTACGTAACTTAACGTTGAGTTTAGTTGAGTTTATTCAATTTAAAAGTTTTCCATTAGTGTTAACGAAAAGTCAACTTGGCTAACCTCGCAAATCATCCAATTTATCCACTGATCTCATTGCTTTACACACCGTTACAGCCTATTAAATACCACTGCTATACATAGACCTCCCCATAGGTTATCTCATGAGGGGGGGGGGGGGGGAGGTGTTATATTTGCCATAGTTGCCACGTTTGGCCAGCGCGTTGGCCCATCTGCTGATTTGGCCCCTCTGTTGCCTCTTAACACCCACGGGATGATATCGGGTAGTGGATATTCTTACACCGTGACCTCACGGCATTGATACATTAGTTTTCTTTGTTTATTGCTATCCTGATAAATAACACTAAACAAGGCCGACGTATTTCGTGCTTGCGGAAAAAATTGGCACTTCCACGTTCACTGATGCGCTCAGCAGTAGAATGTACTGTAACTTTACTTAACTCTTACTTTAGTTTAATTAAATAACGATCTTTAAATAATACCCTAGCAATATTGATGATTACAATTTTATTTGGATTTCTTTTCCGTTTTATGATTATTATAATGGATGATAAAGAGATTTAGAAGAAGCCTTGAAGAATCATGAATGTGCTACGTTCAATGTTCGGAGTGTGCAGCGGTTCGGCGGAGAAGAGCGAAGTCCATGACATGGTGCGAAGGATATTCGGAAATGAACTCGTCATGAAAGACAACACGGATCGGCAAAATCAGTTAGATACTGTTATGTTTTTTTTACAAAACTATATATAGGATAAGGGTGACAAACGAGCACATAATCCACTTGATGGTAAGTAGTTGCTGTGGCCCATAGACATCTACATCTATCCTCAATAATGAATCAAAATGCAGATGCGTTGTCACCCGTGAGGACTAAGATGGAATGCCTCGTTTCCAGTGAAAGGGGTTCCCGATTCTCTATACGCACCATACGAAACACAACAGCGTTAAGCTGGTATTTTACGCTGGTATTCTGTGAGAGCGTTGTCCATCGCCGTTCGAGCCGACCTATTCGTGCTACAACTATACTATTTGTTCGCGCAAAACACTGTTGTCGGAGTCGACACCAGATGTCACTCGGCTCGGCGCGATTCCGGTTTGAAGTTCGGCTAGGCGTGGCACGAGCGCGCGAGTCGCGAGAGAAAAGTCAGTCGTCTTTAATCGGTGCTGACGTGAGCACGCGGTCCATTCTGTTAGGGAACTCGGAATAATTCGGCGCGGCCAGTAAATATACGGTCTATCATTGTGACGCGCATTCCTGCTGGAGAGCTTCCCAGGGACTCATTGTGTTCGACTCAGAATCTGCATAAGTGCATTAGGCAATATTAGATAGTGCGGCCTATAATATTCTAGAACTAACTCTTGCGACGCGAAACGGTAGTGACCTTTAATAAACTGTAAACTCCGTGTGCGTTTTGTGTGTTAACCTGATAACCAGCGATAGTTAGTGGCTTCTGTAAGTTAGTAAATCGTACGATAGAGTTAATTGACTGTCAACGTGACGAAAGAAGAAAGTGACTGTGGATAACCTCGAAAGGCCCCCTCAAGTTGGAGCGGTGTCGACGCTCGGGCTGCTGCCGACGGCTAAGGTCTAGGTTCAATCACCATCAGTCACACCCAGATACACACCACATCACCATTCTTTCCCTTGCACTACACAACCACATGCGACCTGACCGACTCCGGAGGGACCAGTCGCCTTGGATAGGTAAGTAAGCTTCATCCAAATTCCTTCCGGTCGACTGGCCGTAGTATAACGCCCCCCCCCATATATTTTAATGTAATTAGGCATTTCCACATGGCCACATTGGGGCCCGACCTACGTCTGTTCGGAAAATCTTCAGCTCATGGGCCCCTGAAGATTGGATCCTTTAAGGGAGCAGCCGTAGGCCGTAACAAACTGGTAGCAGAGCGTGGTTCCGGGTTCGATTCCCGGTCGATCCCGACTATAGTGTTTGATAAACATTAAACAATTTTGGTGGCAGGGAGCGTTGGTGTGATTGGTTTAATTTGCATCTACAATCACGCCCGTCCGTAATACGTAAAAGTATTTTTTTGTACGTAATAATAGAATTATTTTTCTTTGTTGCTTTGTTGCTTGCCTTTTTTTTGGTTATAGGGTAATTTGAAAAGCCGCGCCCTAGGTTGTGCAAGCGGGAGTTTTTCTAGAGATATACGTCATGTAGGTAGATGGTTATTTTTACGTAATCGGTTAATTATCGTTGTCGGATAGTTGTAGTGGATTACTTATCGAAGGTTCGATTTCCGAGCTAGGCATTTTTGTTGATCGACCGTGATGTGTATCTTCGTTTATACTGTAATTTGTATTTGAACTAAAGAGTAGTAATTGTATTTGCGTACTTTGAATTTAACTTGATTTCATCGCACTAGTATTTGTTATTTGTTAATTTGATTGTGTCTTTTCTTTTGAGCTAACTTGTATTTGGTTGATACGTAGTAATTCGTATTTGTGTAATTTCTATTCAACGCGATTTGATAGGAACTGCATTTATTAACTGTTAATTTTTGTTGTATTTTTTGTTTGTTATCTTTGTAATCTGTGCTCAAGCCGCGTCGTAATTTGTATTTAATAGTGATGACATCGCCTAAGCTACTGATCTGTTGTCTGCGGACTGAGTTGCGCTGGGCCACAAGCGCCCATGCTTTGATAGGTCGACCGGATAGGGTCCATAACTTGATGAAGCGGTTCGAGCAGGTGGATGCTCGAAGGGCCGCAGTGGAGGAGGCTTACGCTGAGCTCGAGGATTCGGATGTGGAGAAGGGAGTCCTGGACTCTTGCTTTGCGGACTATGAGCAGTTCTTGTGGCTCACGGACGAGTTGATCGAGGCTGAAGGCAGGTATGCCGAGGAGGCGCGTGAAGCTCGGATGAGTAACCTGCCCGAGTCCTCTCTGAAGCAGCTTCAGCCGGAGCTGTTGGGACGACTCCCAACTCTGGACCTGCCAAAGTTCTCCGGGGTCCTTTCCGAATGGCTGACCTTCGTTGGTCTTTTCGACAGCCTAGTGGACGCCCGGAGTGACTTGACCCCGAGACAAAAGATGGCGTACCTCCTGGCCTCACTGGAGGGGGAGGCCCTGGGCGTCGTCGGCCACTTGAAATTGTCGGACGACGCCTACCAGACTGCTCGGGACCTCCTAGCCAGAAGATACGCCAACATCCGGCGAATTGCAGACGAGCATGTTAAGCAGCTTCTAAGCCTCCCGCTGCTTAGTGACCGGGCCAGACTGCGTCCGGACCTGTTGGATCCAGTCTTGGTGGCCTGTAATACATTGAGGCGGCTGGGTTTACCAGTGGGCGAATGGGCTTTTTTGTGGCTCCGCATCGTGCTGTCCCGTCTACCTCTCGACCTGCGAATCCATTTTGAGGAGAGGTACGGCGGGGACGAGGCCTCCTATATTCCGCCCTTCTATGACCTGCTGCGGTTTTTGGAGGAGCAGTGCCGGCAGATAGAGAGCGCGGCGGGCACCGTTGACGACTTACGAGCCGTGCCCAGTGAGAGGCTGAATCCTCCAGGCAAGTCGTCGTCAACCCCCCCCCTGCTCCTATTGTCGAGCATCTGATCATCGGGTAACGTCGTGCCCGAAATTATTAGGTAAGCCGGTTCCAGCGAGGCGAACTATCGCCAAGGAGCGCCGCTGGTGCTGGTCATGTCTGGGAGGGCACCTCCAGCGAGACTGTCCGCATCGACGGCCCTGTCTGCATTGCCAGGGTAATCACCATGCCGTTTTGTGCCTGGGTGCGAACGGCATCTCCTCTCGGGGCTCTGCCAGGCCCTCGACCCCCACGGGCGGGGGCGCTCAGCCACGCCCTCTGCAGGGTGACTCTCGGCGCCCGCCGGCCAGCCACCAGGCCCCTAAGTTTGAAAGGAGTCCCTCCCCCGACCAGTCGGGGGGTAATTCCCCCAGGGGCGGGGGTGTCATCACCCCCCCTCAGCGTGTGGAGAGGAACTTCACGGCCACTCATCGGTCCGCTGGACCCTTCTCACTTCCGTTAGCTGAGTGGCCGCGACTGGTGTACCACTGTTCCCCATTTGATGGAGGCGGCCCTGTCTAGCTGCTGCCTTAGTTCCCACCACGGCCGCCTCCACTGAGCCTTAAGCCGTCAACAGTCCACTTGTCAAAATGTTCTGTTGCCGACGGCCTCAGTGAAGGCGTACAACCCGAGTGGCAACTGTTAAAGGTTGTGCTCTATTTATCTCGGGTTCACGCCATGTGGCCTCCCCTTGGTGGTGGGAAGATTAGGGCACCCCTGGAGCGTTGAATCACGTTGTCAAGGGGTATTAGATTTGGGTTGGTCGAGCACTTAGTCAAAAAATACTTGAATTAAAATTAAAAATTGCTTTGGGCTTTCCGCGAAATTTTCCTATTTGTAGCGGTTTAAATTAAACGAATTGAATTTAATCCATTCCTTTAAATGCTACTGCATGTGTTTTGTACACATATTTAATCACTGTATTTGATTGTTGCGTCTGTTTGCTGAAAGGAAAATTTGAATTCATCTGAAATTGAATGGCGCACTATTTGAAAAATTATCTATATGTTTATGATAGTGTTTAATCATTTTGCTTTGCGAAGGAGTAGGGCTGTCCCTTACGTTATTGTTTTGTTTAATTTGCAAGTTGACCTATGCGCATCGGTGATTAATTTGGTTGAATTAATTCTGTAGCTGAACATTGATGCTTTTGAAAAATTAGTTGAAATATGAGCATAGGACTACTTGCCTAACAGGCTAGCTAGTTTGGAGATTATCTGATTGAAATCAGCTGCCGCGCTATTTAGTAAATGATAATATGGTGGGTGGCCTGGCTAGGCCTCCTTGTTGAAAATTCATACTAGGGACTATCTGTGCGTTTCGTTGGGCTCTCCACAGACGACGTTCATGTGGAATTTGTGGATGCACTCTGCACTGAAGCAACTGCTGGCACAAAATTTGTCTGGGCAGCTTCGTGTAGCGTCGCTGTTTGCAGAGCTGATCCGGTCGGATTGCGGAACTAATCATAGGGGCACAGATAGGTGTTTGAAAGAGGTCGTCGGACTTCTGTCCAGTACAGGACTTATTAAAGTGCTGCAATGCCCAGGAGGGGCATCCAATGGAGGCTGACCCTCCGGCTTGCCACCTTAGAGCTATCTTTTGAGGCGTTGATTAGGGTTGCAAGATCTGATGGGTTGCCTAAGGTGGCCTAGTTTGGTTGTAGATTCGGTCTTGCGACTTGCCGTCGCGACCTTGTCTCGCTGCCCGGTTTGCTCGCGGACCTAAATCCGTATGTCCGGGACGGGGGTTTGTTCGCGCAAAACACTGTTGTCGGAGTCGACATCAGATGTCACTCGGCTCGGCGCGATTCCGGTTTGAAGTTCGGCTAGGCGTGGCACGAGCGCGCGAGTCGCGAGAGAAAAGTCAGTCGTCTTTAATCGGTGCTGACGTGAGCACGCGGTCCATTCTGTTAGGGAACTCGGAATAATTCGGCGCGGCCAGTAAATATACGGTCTATCATTGTGACGCGCATTCCTGCTGGAGAGCTTCCCAGGGACTCATTGTGTTCGACTCAGAATCTGCATAAGTGCATTAGGCAATATTAGATAGTGCGGCCTATAATATTCTAGAACTAACTCTTGCGACGCGAAACGGTAGTGACCTTTAATAAACTGTAAACTCCGTGTGCGTTTTGTGTGTTAACCTGATAACCAGCGATAGTTAGTGGCTTCTGTAAGTTAGTAAATCGTACGATAGAGTTAATTGACTGTCAACGTGACGAAAGAAGAAAGTGACTGTGGATAACCTCGAAAGGCCCCCTCAAGTTGGAGCGGTGTCGACGCTCGGGCTGCTGCCGACGGCTAAGGTCTAGGTTCAATCACCATCAGTCACACCCAGATACACACCACATCACCATTCTTTCCCTTGCACTACACAACCACATGCGACCTGACCGACTCCGGAGGGACCAGTCGCCTTGGATAGGTAAGTAAGCTTCATCCAAATTCCTTCCGGTCGACTGGCCGTAGTATAACGCCCCCCCCATATATTTTAATGTAATTAGGCATTTCCACGTGGCCACATTGGGGCCCGACCTACGTCTGTTCGGAAAATCTTCAGCTCATGGGCCCCTGAAGATTGGATCCTTTAAGGGAGCAGCCGTAGGCCGTAACACTATTATTATAGCTGCAGCATGGCTCTACCACGTAAAAACTATTGATCTTTGACGTAAAATACGTCTTTCAAGGATAAGCATTATAAGGCGTGTTATTCTTAGCCTCTCAGTTAGATAGAGCCCATATTTAACAATATCCTACAATCGAACACGTAATGATGATGATAATATTTTCTTCTAAAGGAAATTCGTGCTACAACTGTACTACTGATATAGCTGCAGCATGGCTCATACCACGTGTGAAAACTGAAGTAACAAATGAACTTAGGCCGGTATTAATCATTGCGATATCATCATCTCAAGATCGTTACTAATTAATAAACACATAAAAACAGTATCTCAAAATGCTGTAATTAGGAATACTGTTCTGTCGCTTGCATTCAAGTACACACACTTGAGAGTCGAGTTTCGTTTATTAATCAGTCTGGCACTCAGCTGATATCGTAAACCTAAACCGCATCTTGAGATATGTTTTTTAATAAGATCATTAACCTCAAGATTGTACTCAAGTGCGTGTACTTGAGCTGAGTAACGTTTATTAAAACGGGCCTTACAGTCCATCTGATGGTAAGTCGCCACCCATGGTCATCTGCAGCCATCTTCAAGCAAGAAAAGCTACAGATGCGTTGTCACCTCTGAAAGCTAAGATGGCTTGTTGCAATACAGGCTCTCTAAGGGTATAATTTGAGACCGGAACACAGCAGGCACTGTTATTTAGACTGAGATAGGTGATTAATTATGTCGTTTGTTATACCGACGGCTTGGTGATGCAGTGGCTAAGCGTTTAGTTGCGACGTTGTAATACCGCGGGTTCAAATCCCACAAGGAACAAGTTCGTATGGTCTACATTTTGATGTAATTTTGATCGAATTTTAGTTAATGCGGCCAATATTAACAGTCTTAACAGTCTCAGTGGGTTTTTTTGTTGGTTCTTCCCAGGACAGAGGTTTTTTCCGAACCAGTTGTAAAGTAAAAAAATTTTATGACTTTCAATAAGATAAAAATTATTCTATTCTATTCTATTAACGGAAAAGAGGCATCTTTGAAGGGCAGGATTATAGTGCACGAGTGTGTGCAAACACAGGGTGCAAATTTATTCCCTCACTTTCATAATCTGATGGGACGGCAAGCCGACACGAACCGAGAGATCAGACGAAAGAGCAACGACTTTACGTGCTTTCCTAGGTACGGGGCACCGCCAACTTCCTGAATCCGAGTTACTACTGAAAATTTCTTGATAGAAAATTCCAATAATTTTGTAATTTTTGAAATTCGAACCGGGGTCACATTTTTTTCAAGTTTAATAAGTTTAATAATTTTTCAATCATATAAATATATTTCCAGAATAAATTAGTAATGCTTTTATTTTGTCAATCTGAGCTTTACGTCTATCCATAGAATCCATTATCGCATTTAATATTAATTGATTATTTATTCCCTTAATAGGAAAAGCAAGTATTTGACCCACATAAGAGAAAATCTGACTAAAATAATAGACGCAAAAGTTGTAAGCCATAAGTCGAAATTCTCCAAAAAGCATATCACAACTTTTATTGATGTGAGTGACTATTTATTTATTATTCCACTATATTATTGTTTGTAATTTAATGTAAAATTAGGCGATGTGATCCAAATCATTTAACAATTTTAATCGACTTCAAATAAGGAGAGAGGGGTATTAGTATGTAGGGTGATACCGCGATATCTCCGAAGTTAATTAATATGGAACGTTATAACGTATAACGCTAACCATCTGAGCCGTGGTAGCTTAGATGGTTAGCGCTCGCTGCAAATTTCACAGCACGCGAGCAATCCGGGTTCGATCCCCGCCGGCACCAATGAAATTGTTAATTGCAATTTTATGTGCTCATTTACCACGTGCTCGGCGGTGAAGGAAAACATCGTGAAGAAACCTGTATGTCTGAGAAATAAGAAAAAAATATTTCAAAGACATGTGAAGTTCGCCAACACGCATGGAGCAGTGCGGCGGACATTTCCCTGCCTTGAAACCCTCTCAGAAATGAGAGGAGGCCTGTGCTCAGCAGTGGGACGTATATAGGCTGTGGCACGAATAGATCGGCTCGACCGGGAAAGGTTTTTTTACGCTCTCATAGAATAACAGCGTAAAATAGCATTTTCGTATGGTGAGAACCGGAAACCCGTTTCACTGAAAACGAGGCATTCTATCTTAGTACTTAAGGTTGACAACGCATTTGTATTTTGATTCTTTAATCGATAATAGACGTAGGTGGACTGACTGCTGATTTGTCAACCTTATTCTGTAAAAAAGAGAATTTACAATTTTTACCGACTTCAAAAAAGGTATGTAAGGATTTTTCAATCTTCAGTTAAAACTTATTCATAGGATAAACAAAAGATAAAATAAAACATAAACAAATTAAAAATTACAGTTTTACGGATAAAATAGTTCAATTGTTTTACTTTTATATTAAGTCGGATTAGAATTTATTTTATGGATAACTTATTTCTGATGGTTGAATAATCGACACAAAAATGAACTATGGTTACGTTAGGTGTATTCTTTTTATTTAGAAACAAGATACCGCAGACGAAAGGCCAGGTCGCATTGGTCCTAAAATCGTTGTTTTTGATGCCTCAACTGGTACGTAAACTTTTTTGTAAAACATTATTTCAATATCTTTATCTTTTTATTTAAGTTAATAAGTTAATAAAACACCGATTTTTGACACTGTTATACATTTGTACTCGTAGTTAAAGTACATGCCGTGTGAATATTATTTAGAGAATAACTTCGTCTACTTTAGGTTCATTGCTTATAAATAGTAAAATTTTATGATGGTTTTGATGCCATCAGAAATTACCAAACTATTACCACCATTATAGCTCTGATTTTCAACCGTTTTCAAAAACGAGGAAGTACTCAATTCGACGGTATGTTTTGTTAGCAGTGGACTTTAATAAGCTGTAATAGATGAATGTTTGTATGAAATAAGGGATACAATTAGCGAAGAATTCGGTGTATTTTTTTTTCAAGAAAGTAAATATTATGTAATATAATATATCTGTAAGGATAGTATACAACAATAGTGGTTGAAGCGTTTTCAGGTCGAAAATTATGACGTAAAACGATCCGCTTTTGTCATGCATAACGTATGCGTAATACGAGAAGTTTGATCTTGTTTTGAACTTTGGAACACGAAATTTCCTGAGCACTGAATTTATTAATCACTAACACTATTCTATTATAACGTAACTTCACTAAAACTATTACAGCTTTAACTCATTTTAAAATGTTTTGTACATGAAAATCTAATTTTTGGGCGCGACTTGAGCTCACAGAGTGACACTAAGAGTTCATCACAAATCCACTGCTGAACATAGTTTTCGTCCATAGATTGCCTTATATTATATTTGCCATAGCTGCCACGTTTGGCTGGTGGCTTGGTTTGGAAGATCCTGCTACCCATCTCATATGGGATCTCCTGCCTACATATTATAGTCTACATATGGATTTTCTTACACCGTATACTCGTACGTGGTAGTGCCATGCTGCAGTTATATTGATTTTATAGTTGCAGCACGAATGCGTCGGCTCGACCGGGTGGGACCACGCTCTCACAGAATACCAGCGTAAAATAGATGTAGATATCTATGGGACAACCACTTACCATCAGGTGAACTGTGTGCTCGTTTGTCACCTTTAGCCTATCATCATCATCATCATAATTACAGCGTTTCATAAATCCACTGCTGAACATAGGCCTCCTCCAACTAATACCACAAAGCACGGTCCTGAGCCACCTGCATCCATCGACTTCCTGCATGTCTTACCAGGTCGTCACTCCATCTCGTGGAGGGTCGCCCTACACTTCGCCTACCGGTACGAGGCTGCCACTCAAGAACCTTTCTTCCCCATCGGTTGTCGGTTCTTCGAGCTATATGGCCGGCCCACTGCCACTTCTGCTTACTAATCCGTTGGGCTATGTCGGTCACTCTGGTTCTACTGCGGATATCCTCATTTCTAAGTTTATCACGCAGAGAAACTCCAAGCATAGCCCTTTCCATAGCTTGCTAAGCGACCTTGAGCTTCCTCATACGGCCAACAGTGAAGGACCACGTCTCAGATCCGTAAGTCATCACTGGCAACACGCACTGGTTGTACAATTTCGTTTTAAGGTTTTGAGGAATCTCCGACGAGAAGATGTGTCGTAGTTTCCCGAACGCTGCCCAGCCGAGTTGAATCCGTCGATTAACCTCTCGGTCGAAGTTGGACTTACCTAGTCGGACTATTTGTCCCAGGTAAACATACTCGTCAACAACTTCGAGCTTAGTGCTCCCAACAACTACCGGCATAGGTGTGACATGGACATTGAACATGATCTTTGTTTTGTCCATGTTCATCTTAAGACCTATCCGTTGGGAGACACTATTGAGGTCATTGAGCATGGTGCTTAGATCCTCCAGCGATTCTGCCATAAGGACTATATCGTCGGCAAATCGATGGTGAGTGATGTACTCGCCATTGATGTTAATACCGTATCCTTTCCAGTCCAGAAGCTTGAAAACGTCTTCCAATGCTTTAGCCTATAACAATAATAAAATTAAAAAAATCTCTTACACCGATTTCTGATTTATTCGCGTAAAATAAGCTTAAGTATAAAATTTTCATCTATATCTATAAAAATATAAACAAAATTGAAATGTCTGTTTGTAATATTGAAATAAGTGCATTTTGGAAATGAGAGGCTTATTTGATTAATAAAAAATATTGTAATGCTGTGTCACCTATAAGGGTGCACACATCAGTCCCTAGATTAAGCCCACTTTCAATAAAATGTTATAATGTGTGCACTGCTGGTGCCCTATGAATAAATAAATAAATAAATTTGCCATTATGACATTGTTAACCATCTTAAAAATCTTTATATATCTATTTGACAGGGTTAATCTTCGAAATATCTACACGGATTGTAATAACACTCTTTCTATGTCTCGTTAAAACAAATATACTGTAAGTAGTCTATATTCAGCAGTGCTGTGAAAGGCTGTAATGATGATGATAGTGCTGATGATGGCAGTCAGTGATCTATGAACGATATGCTTATATCGTCTTGATTGTATTTTAAACTATATCATTTCACTTAGGCATACTTAACAATTTGAACCATATCACTGAAGTGTCGTTAAAAGTACGACACAAGCATTAGAGCGCCAAGGGTTACAATATTGGAAAATTTCACTATGGAGAGTCTTATCTACCGACTTCAAAAAGGAGCCGGTACTCAATTCGACTGTATGTTTTTTTTAATGTGTGTTACCTCATAACTTTTTACTGGGTGAACCGATTTCAATGATTCTTGTTTTATTTGAAAGCTGGTGCTTCACACGTGGTCCCATATAAATTTGATCAAGGTCTGACCAATAGTTTTTTGAGTTATTCTTAATTTATATTGAAGTCGGTTGTACTACATTTTTAATTTTTAATTATTTCTAGTAGAGGATTGTATGTGGATTGTAAGTATAAGAAAATTTTACAACGTATATTTTTCCAACAATACAAACTCAAAATTATAAAAAAAGAGCGATTGTCACTCCTGCCTAGCGGGGCAGCTATGGCGGAACCACCGTTATGAGGAAATCTTTGTTGGAGGCCTATTTCCAGCAGTGGACCTTTATGGAGGCTATAATGGATGGATATTTTTCCTAAGGAACTGGTCGCTTAGTCCTCGTTGGAGACGAAAGGGTTAGCGTCCAAGGTCTGTCTAGCTTTGCCACCATCAGAGCGACTGCGTGCGTTTATTCCGGGAAATGGATGTACGAGGTACAGCTTGGAACTAAAGGCATTATGCAGGTAATTTTGCATTGCTTAAATTAAAATCTGTAAATTTTGTACTTGTTCCGTCGCCGCGCCGACGTATTTTTAGTTCAAGTTACAGCCTATTAAAGTGCATTTCTGAGCATATTCCTCCCTAATAGATTGCCTCATAGGGGGGATATTTGGCATAGTTGCCACGCTTGGCAAGGGGTTGGCAGCTACGTGTTTTTATTTTTAGTCGTTATTAGGAAGACTGTGCTGTCCATCTGGTGATGTTTCCCCTCTGTCGTATTTTACGACATCCACGGGATGATACGGGATAGTGAATATTCTTACACCGCCACTATATGTGTTTTCACTTTTTACGAGTAGTTCAGTAAATAGTTTTTCTGGTCACACTTACTGGGAGTTTACCTGGTCCCTTTTTCTGTCTAGGAGTCGTTCTAATAAATATAACCGTCTCACTTTTTCAGATTGAATGTAATTACATCCTAGCAGACATTATCTCCTGGTAATATTAATTCCATGCATGCTTAAAATTGTAGAAGCCGTGGTAGCTCAGATGATTAGCGCTCGCCGTTAGTTTCACAGTACGCGAGCAACCCGGGCTCGATCCCCTCCGGCACCAATGAAATTGTTAGTTGCAATTTTATGTGCTGATTTATCAGGGGCTCGGCGGTGAAGACAAACGTCGTGAGGAGACCTGATTAATATCCTTGCCCTAAAAACCCTCTCAAAAAAAGAGGAGGGCTGTGCCCGGTAGTGTGACGTATATAGGATGTAACTTTAACTTTTATAATTGTATGAAAGAGTTCATTGTCTGCCAGTGGCAAATTAACATAAGGTGGATTTTAAACTTGTAATTCTCACTCATGTAACACCATTTGGTGTTACATGACTTAATCTTGGTTGTCTGTATAGCTTATTGTTTCACAGATTGGTTGGTGCACAGCGAGCTGTACGTTTTCCATGGATACGGGGGTGGGCGATACCACCCATTCTTATGCATATGATGGTGGAAGAGTGAGGCGATGGAATGTGGCCACGTCACCTTATGGCCACGCATGGCTGCCCGGTGACGTCATCAGCACTTGTCTCGATCTCGATAAGGGGACCTTAGAATTCTATAGGTATTGGTTGTTATACAATTGCAATTATGAAGCTAAGGCGTAGCTTACTAGATGATAGGACCCCTTTTCTGCCTCGAAATTCATCTGGGTAGGTCTCATCTATTTCTGGTCTTGCTGATCCTAGTTGATGCTTACCTAAATAATAGAACGCAAACAGTTGTTATTAATGGATGCAGTTCTTCCGGGTCGGTAGTATCTATGGGTGTTCCGCAGGGCTCAGTTCTTGGTCCCCTTCTGTTCTTAGCTTATATTAAGGGCTTACCTTACTTGGTAGGGAATAACAATGATATAGTATTATTTGCTAATGACACTTTGTTAATTTTCCGACTATATTTGCCGCCAAGAAGTAGTTCGTGTACTGCTGAGTTGCGGTTTGAAGTCTATAGAATCGTATCGTACAATTGTAGACCGTGAGGTATTTCATTTTAGGATTAAGAGGCGACAACATTGCCTTATTTGAAGTTGACTACAGTTTTATTATTGCGTGGACTGTACAGGTTGGTCAATTCAATTTCATATACATTACGAAATGTATATATAATACCACAGTTTTACGAGTACATGCTTTCCGAGTCATGTGGGGAAAAAACACCGCCATCTTCTTGACTACGGGTTTCTACTGAGAATTTCTTAACAGAACACCCAATAGCTGATTTCGACCCGACCGGAATTCGAACCCAAGACCAAAACCCGGGACGAAAAGAGAGCCGTACGGACGATTTATAACTTAAATTATAATGAGTCCCATAGAGAAAATTTTAAAGAAATAAACATACTTACTTTGGCATCGCAATATATTTATGAAAATGTAATGTGTATGTACATAAAGACATAAATAGCTTTGATAAGAATAAAGATGTTCATACTTTAAACACTAGGGACAAACATAAGCTTGTGATATCAGTTACTAGACTTCACAGAATTAGTAATTCGTTTATGGGGCAATATATACGCTTTTATAATAAAATCCCAGAAAATGTACAAAATTTGTCAATAAATATGTACAATTATTACATTTAAATGTAACATTTAAATGTTTATTAAAGAAAAATTGTACAAAAAGGGTTATTATAATATCAAAGAACACATATGTGAAAAAAAATCCTGGGAATGAGATGATCGCCACCATGCTGCTTCCATGAAAACTCATTTAAAATTTGTACAAACAAAAAAACAAAATTATTGTAAAGTGAAATATGTTATAAAAAAAGGCTCGCTGGGCTTCTTGCTGATCTTCCCAGGACAGAGGTATTTTCCGAAGCAGTGGTAAATAAAAAAAATACTTTCAATAAGTATTATGTAGTAATCAATATTGAATAAAAATTATTCTATTCTATACATGATGAGCAGGCGCGCTTACGAAGACTAGACCAAAGAGACAGTTAATTTATTAATAACTAGACTACAGTGCTTCTTATCGGGTCACAGCTAAGAACCACCGTCTCGACAAAACAATTAATTTGTCTGAAGGTCATGTCATACCTTAATCCGTCAAGTTGCTCAGAATTTACACGACACTAACAGACGCACCAACGATTATTTATAACTATAAAGATAATGACCCCTTTGTTGGAGCGACTTGTAATCGAAGGAATTAAAAAAGAATTTGTTGAAATGTTGTTACTTGGTGGTGGGACTTTTTTTCGGTCTTGGACTCCGCCTGGATAGGTACGAAGCTCTTATCATTTCTGCTGCCAAATATTTTTATAGATTTCTCTATATTTACATCATAACGTAAATAACCATTTGTAAATATTTTGTCTATCTGTCTCTCTGGAACTGAACTCTTATCTCCGCAATGGCGAAACCGATTGTGATGCAAATTCAAGAACAAATGTCAGGTGTATAGTGATATAAGCTATATTTTATTCGAAAAACTTGGATAACTTGTGAAATGGAACAGTTGATAAAATAATTGGTCATTGATGATGACTTAAAAATATAAATGCCTCACCCGAGCAAAGCCGGGTCGGGTGGCTAGTAAATTTTTAATAGAAATCGAATACATGTAAGTATACCTAACCGCAATTGGCTACATAAAGTTGTAGCTCGCTAAACCTGGGTGTACTCTCACTCCGGTTTATAGCCGTAGTGAAAACTGTAAACTTACTATAATATACATAAAGTGTATTGTTTTGTTTAGGAACGGCGAATCGATGGGCATAGCGTTTGATTCTGTCGTCCATGGCACTGGGCTTGCGTATTTTCCAGCAGTTTCTTTGGCTATGCAAGAGCACCTTTACGCAAACTTCGGCCATGTCCCATTTATGTATGTTTTCTTAACTCTTTTACAAACAATGGTGTTAAGGAACGAAGTAGGCGACTTGAGCTTCGAATTATTCACCGTTACCGTTACGGCTTATCGAAATCTACTGCTGAACATTGGCTTCCCTCTAGGATTGCCTCTTAGGGGGGATATTTGACATAGACGCCACGCTTGGCAAGCGGTTTTAAAACTGCAATTTGTTTTGAAGTTGTTATTAGGGAGACGCTGCTGCCCATCTCCAGGTTTGTCTCCTCTTACGGCACCCACGGGATGATATGGGGTAGGGGATATTCTTATACTGCCACTACACGGTGATAAATTTACATATATTAAATTAAATTGTTAAATTATTCACTATAATATGTATTAAAACATTCTTCATATATAACTTTAGCCCAAATTTGTATAACTCAATTTAATTAGACTAGTTCGTTAAATCTTGTAAAAATATATGTTGGGAATGAGGGTACATAAATAAAAGGACATACGAACCAATGAAGGTAGAATGCTAATCTCCCACTTGTTTTATAGCAGTTAGCAGTGTAAAGTATCGCAAAATCGACTAAGAGAGATCAGTCTGTAATTCTAAGTCTCAATGTCGTTTCTATGCCCGTTGGGGTATTCTACTAGTGTAGGTAAAGAAAGTCGTGTTGCTGAGAGGCTGCCCTGTGTTACATTGAGATGGGTAGTGATGCTGTTGGTTTGCATACTTTGGTCCTGATAGTAAGCAGGGTTTTTTTATCGAGTAGTGTTATTTTATTGAAATACTTTTTAGAATAATTTCTAACATCAGAAGTGGAATAGATTGTTACAATATAGTTAAACTCAACTATAAATATTACGGATTAAATTATGTTTCATTTAAATTTTTTTTAAATTTCCAACTGTCCCTAGTGACCCTGTGATTTCATACAGTACACAAACTGCTAGTAGCACTTTTTTTCTGCTAAGTAGTTTCACCCTCTTAACTATTTTAACTGCCAAATGGCAACGTATGACTGGTATGGAGGGCGTAGAGAATCAGTATGATTAGAGGCTGTGGAGCAGTCCGTCTTAGTCCTCAGAGGTGACTCCGCAAATGTAGCCTTCTTTATTTGACGTTGGCTTGCAGGTGATTATGACTGCAGTAGCAACTAACCATCAGGTTGGCTGCATTGAGTTAGATGTATTACGTACTAGAGAAGCCTTTCTAACAAAAAATGTGCAATACTCTATGTGTTCGCGCATGCGCGGGAGATAGTAGAGTCGCGCATACGCAGTTGATTTAAGCGCGTTGCGTCTTCGCGGTCAGTTTTTAATTTAAACTTTAATTTGAAATATTGTATTATTAGCGCCGCTCCACACTGCATGAATATTGAAACCACAGACTAACTAGTAGATTGAAACCACACAAAATGACACACTGTACGGATTGCAGTCTAGTGATCATCATGAGACATCTAGTGACTATAGTTAAACTGAACCATAGTCACTAGATGTCTATGGTTCAGTTGAACATAGTGTATGTTCGGAATGCGCAATCTAGTACGTAGTACATATACACTTCAGTTTTATTCTGTGTCATAGTCTTCGTCAGTCATTTTGTCTCGTTACTTAAATTTTGTAACGCAAATGCATTTTAAAAGAATGGTATTAAGAACCAATCTCTTTCTACTATGAACAGCTTGATTTAAAAACCATATGAGATAATACACATTTACATTATATCAATTTACATTGGATGTTTTGTGATTAACATTTAGTTATTTAACAGTTTTCCTGTGGAGGGTTACGCTCCATTGCAGGCGCCTCCTGTGAAAGAGTGTGGTCGAGCGACTTTTCTATTCAAATCACTTGATGCTATTATTGATGAACTTGCTCATCTGTCTGATTTAAAAACTGGAATTGTTGCAAAATCCAGCAAGGTTTGTTTTTATAATAATTTTAAATATGTCACAGTAGATATGAATAACTTAGAAATGTGGATATAGGCAGTAGAACCAAAGTAACCGGTCACAGCTTAATGGATTAGTAAGCTGATGTGGCAATCGACCGGCCATATTGTTCGAAGAACTAACAACCGATGGAATAATAGATCCTCAAGTGGCAGCCTCGTACCGATAGACGAAGTGTAGGGCGACCCCGCCACTAGATGGACCTGGTAAGACATGCAGGAAGTTGATAGATGCAGTTGGCTCAGGACCATGGTCCTGAGCCAACTGCTGCTTTGTGGCATTCCTTGGGGGAGGCCTACGTTCAGCAGTGGATTTGTGAAGAGCTGTAATGATAATGATGATAGTGAAGACATGAATATGTTGCAATCTTGGAGTGTACACACAAGCAAGCTAACTTAGGTTACAATAATTTTCTGTGACCCGCGTAAGAATACACACTTTCTTATATCATCCCGTGGGTGTCGTAAGAAGTGACAGAGGAATATAGAAACAGGTGATGTGCAACATCATCAACATGAGCTTTTTTGTTGTCTGGATTGAAGCATAAGGCTTAACTAAGTCAGTCAGGTAGAACCACGCTGCAGCTATATTATGGTTGTAGCACGAATGGGTCGGCTCGATAGGCGAAGGACTCTCCTCTTACAGAATACCAGCGTAAAATAACAGCCTAATACTGCTATGTTTCGTATGATTAGTTTAGGGAAGCGGACATTCTTTTTACTGGAAACGAGGCATTCCATCATAGTCCTCAGGAGTGACAACGCATCTGCATTTTGATTCTTAATCGAGAGAATTCTAGATGTCTATGGGCCATAGCATCCACTTACCATCTATAGACTGTGTGCTTGTTTGTCACCCTTATTTTATTAAAAAAAAAAACAATTAAAATTATAAAAACATGCGTGAGTATCGCGGAACACTCGGTTGGAACGAAGTTCCTTTCGTAGTATATTATTAACAAGAAACGTATTATATTACTGATTAACAAATACAAGTAAATGAATTACTAGTGTCTATTTAAATGAAGCGTCATTTAAAATAAAATAATATTGAGATGGCTATTATTTTATCTCGCTTCCTTATAGCCGCCAAGGCCGTATACACTACGTCAGAAGGGGTCGTGACGTCAAAATCTTACACTTTTTCTCGCCTAGCCACCGTCCGCGAAATTTGTACCGTCCGATAATGAACTTCGTTCCGAAAACCGTGATTGTCTACCAGCTTGCCAAGCGTGAAAACTATGCAAATATGTTGCAATCTATGAAGGAGGCCTATTCTATGAAGCGGACATTTGATAAGGTGTAATAAATTATTCGATGAAAAATAATAATAACAATAATGAATCGGTCATCAAAAATAATAATAACAATAATCAATCGTAGGACCACGCTCTCACAGAAAACCAGCGTAAAATAGCAGCTTAACACTGTTGTGTTTCGTATGGTGAGTGTAAAGAACCGGAGACCCTTTTTACTGGCAAATAGCCATTCCATCTTAGTCCTCACGGGTGACAACGCATCTGAATCTGTCTTTATTGAGGATAGATGTAGATGTCTATGGGTCACAGTAACCACTTACCATCAGGTGGACTGTGTGCTCGTTTGTCACCCTATCCTATAAAAGAAAAATATCCTAATAACAGGAAAATTTTAAATGTCATTTAAGGTCAAATCAGAGTCATCAAAAGTGGCAGAGGAAGAGGTGGCTGTGCGTATCGACAGTTCAAACTCTGTTTATAGTCCCCGAGCATCTCCAACTAACGTTCTTGATGTTCAGAGTTCTGAAGTTAAGAAGATGTCGAGAAAAGTATGTACATATAAGAATTAGTTTGATAATAGCAATTGAAATAAAAAGTCTCGCTGGGTTTCTTGCTGGTCATTCCCAGGACAGAGGTTTCTTTTCCGAACCTGTGGTAAAGCTCAAATGACTTTAAATAACTGTTCTTGTAACAAATAAATAAAATTGAAGTGTCTGTTTGTAATGTTAAAATAACAGCTTTTTAGTAAATGCATTTGAACGTATATACAGTACTTATAACAAAAACACAATTTTTAAAATTTTTGTCTGTCTGTCTGTTTGTTCCGGCTAATCTCCGAAACGGCTGGACCGATTTCGACGGGACTGTCACTGGCAGATAGCTGATATTATAAGGAGTAACTTAGGCTACTTATATTTTACAAAAAGAATTAGGGTTCCGCGTAACATAATTAAAACCCTAAATTACACGCGGGCGAAGTCGCGGGGAACAGCTAGTGTTGAATAAAAATGATTCTATACTATTCTGAATTCCCCTTTTCGTTTTTAGAATAAACATATCTTATATAATATATAATTTAAAATTAAAAATTTTGTACAGCCGACTTCAATATAAGTTATTTAAGAATAACTTAAAAACTATTGGTCTGACCTTGATCAAATTCATATGGGACCACACGAGAAGTACCAGCTTTCAAATAAAAAAGAATCATCGAAATCGGTTCACCCAGAAAAAAGTTCTGAGGTAACACACATAAAAAAAAAAAAAAAACGAAAAAAAAAACATACAGTCGAATTGAGTACCGGCTCCTTTTTGGAAGTCGGCAGAAAACTTGACTAGACTTCAGAAATTGTCAATATGTTTTGAATTAATAAAAAAAAAATCGGATAAGTGCACCGTTATCATCCCGTATACCCATATAATCCCGTGGGTGTCGTAAGAGGCGACAGAGGGAAACAAATCAGGAGGTGCGCAGCAGCGTCTTCCGAATAACAACTAAAAATAAAAATAAACTGTGGTTGCCAACCCGCTTGCCAAATGTGGCAACTATAGCAAATACTCCTCCTATGAGGCAATCCACGGGGGAGGCCTATGTTCAGCAGTGGACATTGATAGGCTATAACGGACAAGTGCAAATGGGTCTTGTGTGAGTTTGTGGTTTTATGTTCGTATAAATTTAATTAAGTATGTAGAAAGTCCATATATTCCGCGAATTAACGATAAGGACCGATCATCGCTCTAAAGAAAAGGTAGGTCGGATTGTAGGACAATCTTTTGCAGTGGGAAAAAAAATCTTCTCGTATACGTCAAGGTCGATGCTCCAATTACAAATATAAATAGTATGTAATCACAAAAAATATTCATATGAAATATTTCTTGAGTTACGGAATTCTAAAAAGTAAGTTAAATTGTTTTAGGTCACTTTAAAATTTGTGCTCAAATTAGATTATTTACAAGATGATGGTGGTTTCTTTAACAGGCATTTCTAATGTCACTGGCTCGACTCGTGGTGATAGAATTGGGTGGTTGTTTGAAGTTGTCGTACGTCGTAATTGGTGAGCTGCTTCCGCGATTCCGTGGATCATTGGGATTGAAGTCTAGAAGCATAAACCTTGATCAACACACCGCTGAATTATATACAATTAACAAGAAGGAAGCTTTTGTAAGTGTACAATATTTTGTTCAAACAGTAGTAGTAGGCCAGAACACCCAGTCCCAATTTGAGGTGATTTAGAACAGAATATAGAATAGAATAGAATAGAAGGTAATATATAAGAGAGGCGTATAGTCGGCAGTATTTTATTCGTGGCAATTTCGGTGCATACTTCTGATCGATTTGTCATCTATCGCAGGCTTAAGATTCTTTTGAAATTTCTCTTCATGTACAATAATCGGGGTATATTACATTAACTATTTATTATTCATTTATTATTGCATTGCTTTATTTCGCCATATAAAAGTGCAACAACGGCTACAGATACTACCTATTACAAAATAGGGGCCGTTTATTGGCAGTGGCATATAAAATTCTGTGGCCCCATTTCGTTCCGTAGGTGTCGTAAGACACGACTCTAAGAAGCGCCAGAAAAATCTTATAGCCAGATGTAAAATGTCTGAGTCTGGCTACGGGGGGTAGCGTCAAAGGTGTGAGACGTCTGGCACTGCGATCTCCATTAAGGCGATTAAGGCAAATAATCTCTACAAGGGGAAAGGATAACACCCAGTAGTGAACTTTTACGGAAGAAAAAAGAGATAATTACAATGAGTTTATACGTGGTAGAGCCACGCTGCTACTGTATTAATAGTATAGTTGTAGCCCGAATGGATCGGCTCGACCGGGGAAGGACCACGCTCTCACAGAATACCAGCGTCAAATAGCAGCTTAATGCTGCTGTGTTTCGTATGGCGAGTGTAGTAGAGAACCGGAGACCCTTTTTATTGGAAAAGAGGCATTCCATTTTAGTCCTCACGACTGACAACGCATCTGCATTTTAATTCGCAAACGAAGATAGATGTAGGTCTATGGGCCACAGCAACCACTTACCATCAAGTGGACTCGTTTGTCACCCTTGTTCTATAGAAAAAAAAAGAATATAACTTACCAAATAAAAGTATAATATAAAAAGAACTATGGGAAAAAATATTTATTTATTTAAGAGCATACAGGCATATATAGACAAAATTATTTTAGTAACTGTTTTATAGATTAAGGGTGACAAAAGCACACAGTCCACTTGATGGTAAGTGGATGCTGTGGCCCATAGACATCTACATCTATCCTCGATTAAGAATCAAAATGCAGATGCGTTGTCACCTGTGAGGACTAAGATCTAAGATAGAATGTCTCGTTTCCAGTAAAAAGGGTCTCCTGTTCTCTACACTTACGGTACGAAGCACGATAGAACTTGCCTTTTTGCATTGGTATTCTTTAAGGGCTTGGTTCTTTGAGCATACACATCCGTGTTATATCATAACATAAATGCAACGTGGCTCTACCACCTATAAATAATTAATTATTAAATTGTAAGTAAATAAAGCGTCAGAGCGCGAACCGCGAACTCGAAAGGTCGTGTGTTCGAATCCCCCATTCGACTACTGTCGTGAACCACTTTTAACACAAGCATTTTAAGCTTACCAGAAGTGTTTAAAGGGAATATTAGTAATGTTTAATAGCTTACTAGTATACTTTTTACTTAGTATTTAAAAAAAAAAGAAAAATGAAATTATTATTTTAAAGCGTTGTCTTTTTTTATTATTATTAAAACAGTTACTTCTTGTATTTCAATATTGCAGAGCGATCTTTCATCAAAAATATTGACACAACCTCAACCAAAGCTGTGCACGCTTTTAGATTTGCTATGGACATTTCTAGATGAATCTTCACTATGTGACATATTTGAGCATTGTGTAGTCAGGGAGTGTTTGCTCTTCGACTCAGTATCGCGGGTAATTTTATTATGAGAAAAGTTAAATATAAAATTAAGTATTATACCTAATTTAATATCGAAAAATCGTGATTAAAAATATTTTTCCATTTTTTCAGGACATGAATTTTAACCAACAAATTGACTGCGTTTATGTGTTATGTGGCTTGATGCAGCATCGTGAGACGAGACATCATCTCGTAAAATACGTGTTCTTCAATAAGATATCGTTAGAATTTTTTAAATAATGCTTATGTAGTTTTTTTATTGGAACGAAGTTTCTTATCGCATGGCACGTACTTGACGGATAGGGGCTAGGCGAAAAAAAGTGTACTAGTTTTCCGTCACGACCATGGGGGCTATAAGGAAGCGAGATGGAATAATATCAATATCCCTCGCACTTTTTCTTATCTTGACATGAAAGAAATATTATTTTAAATGACGCTAATACATACGTTTAACAATAACAATATACTACGATAGGAACTTCGTTCCAACCGAGTGTTCCACGAAACTCACGCATGTTTGTTTTTTATTAGTAAACTTTTATTTGTGGTTTTGGTATTGCTCTAAGATATATCTTATATCTTTATCTATATGTATAATTCTTATGTACGTATATTTGCCACTGAACTACTCCTAAATGGCTGGAATTTAATGAATTAGTGTAGTGTTTAATGAATTTAGTTTAGATTCACAATATGACCCGGTAGGTGGCGCTGTTGTCGAGATCCAGAAATCACCCGTGCAAAGCCGCGGCAGATAGCTAGTTAGGTATACGTAATTATATATAATTTGCTTCTCTACGCTCAACTTGAGTCTTTACTTTTGCCATAATAAGTAACGTTAAAGGAATAAAATCTCATACTATTTTAATTGTATTGGGGGTAGTAAAATAAATTCAGTTTTATTTGCGGTTATGGTGTTGCAATAAAATTTATTAGTCGCCTCGCTAAGCTCGACTTGATTCTTCAATTATGCCGTTATAAACAGTAATATAAAGCAATAAAATCGCATGCTATTTTCATCGTATCCGGTCATTTATTTAATCTACCACCTGTTGGAACCACGAAACAAAACAGTTTTAAAGCTGTTTATTCACTTCTCACCTGCCTAATGGTAGTAGTTGTTTTAAGGCGCTTTTCTAAATAATTTATGTACATACGTTCAGCATTTTAGATTTGGTGAATATATTCAATGTAGTCTGCTAAGTCAGTGACAAACGAGAGGTATAATGTAAAAATGTATTTTATAGCAAGACTAGCGATCCGTCCCGGCTTCGCACGTAGGATTTCTGAATCTCGAAAAAAGCGTCATCTACCGGTTCCAATTGTAAATATAAATCATCCAGGGACCCACTCAAACGAACAGAATAAATTTCATCAAAATCGTTAGAACCGTTTTTGAGTTTTAGCGAGACTAGCGGACAGAAATTGATTTTATATATATATATATGTATAAGATAGAGTGCGTTTCACTAGGATTTTTTGCCATTCATAACTGCATTGTCTCCACCGAGTCAAATGTGTTATAACTTGGCGAAAACCAACAGGCGCATGGTAGGAATGCGGGTTCGGCGCCCGCACCCGCTTCTATCCCCGCGAACAATCACCGATCCGCTGTTCCTTCTCTAGTTCTCATGACGCCTTAGCTGTCATGCGACTAATTGTTTTTTATTTTTTTTATTTTTGAATAAGGCTTACATAAAAGGAACTTATAATATCACGATTTTTGAAAAATACAATATATTATATCTTTTGCATTTAAATTAAAGGTATGCACAGCATTGTTTAATGACAAAAGACGTTGTTTTACATAATACATATCATTTTTTTTAATTAGTACAGAAAAAAAATGAAAGTATTAGAAACTAAAAATAAAAACTAAAAACCAAAAATGGCTCTTGCAACAATCCAAAATCGATTTTTTAAAAGCATCTATATTTTCACAAAATATATCTAAATTACAATTTTTAAATAAAATAAAAATTGTTTTGGTCACGTAGTAATTCGGTGAACCTAAACATGGTAGGTACTATCAAATTAGACAGAGGATACTCTTGTTAGAATCACCGTTGCTCGTTCGTAACCTGTGCACTTCCGAGGTAATTTTTTTTTCTATACGACATATTAAATTACTGAGCGATATGGCATTATATGATAATATTCGCAATTCAATTTCATTTCTGAATGTTACTTAACATATTTTTTAATTGTCTTTAAATTACTTGCAGATTTGATAACTTTCTCAACGTGAAATGCCCGGATGAAAGTGTCTTGCGCACTGTTGTACAAAAACCATGGTGGCATAGACCCACTCCTGTTCAAGGAGAAACAGACCCTAGGATAGCTGGTGAATAATTTTTGAATAAAGACATTCTCTACTAAGACACTAATGGGTTCACGTCACCGATGACCTCGACATGTGCATGTCTACTACGCATAGTAGTATAGTGGCCTGTGTACAAGTATACGTATATATTATTGAGTTTTGATTTCTCTCGGCAGTCCTCATGACTGCCTCTGTTTTTATTTTTTATTTTAAAGTGACAGCTTATGTATGTCTCACAGCCGGACGCAGGCCTACCCTCATTTTGGAGAGAGAAATATCCGCCGCGCTGCCACAATGTCTGTCGACAGGGTTCACAATATGTCTTCAAAATATTTATTACAATATTTTTGTAGTGAAAACTTCGTTCGTTGTGATTTGAAACTCGATAAAAGGAAAAAGCGACAGTAAAAAGAGACAAACATATACATCTATAGGATTTAGCCTGCGACAGATTGAGATAGAATACAGTACGAGTATTCTTCACTTCTACCGCGTGTGAACGCCACACATGTTTTTTCTTTTTATATATAATTATATAATTAAGTCTAAATGGATCCCACTATCAGGCACAAACGTTTTATCATTTTCGGGATAGCTTTGGACCGGGGAAGATTTCGTCGCACGGACATTGGGTCGTGTTGTTGGACTATACGAGTACATATTTTTATGAACATATCTCAACTCTCACCATACCATTTCAGGAAATCAGAACTCAAATTTGTCGCGTGTGTAAAATTTTATAGATATGGGGCACTACTCGCCTCAAATTTATACCTCTTCACAATGAACTAGCACAGCTCTTTTATAAGTTTAGGTATTAATGATGTATGTATAATAATAATAATGACTCAACTCAACGGAGACAAGCCATCTGCGCAGGGCAGGATTATAGTGCACCAGTGTGTGCACGAATACAGGTGCACTCTCTATACTCTCACATTCATAGTTCGATAAGATGGCAAACTGAAACAATCGGAGCGGGATCAGGCGCAGGATCAACGGCTTTACATGCTTACTGAGGCGCATGGGATGAAACGCCGCCACCTTTCTGGCTCCGTGTGGCTACTGACTCTTTTTAACCGAAAACCCAATAATTTTGAGCCCATCTGAGATTCGAATCCGAGATTGATCGGCAATCGCACTTACGACCACTAGATCAACGAAGTAGTCGTGTTCCACTTTCTTATGTATATTATTATATTGCTTTAATGCTATTGTATGCTTTTAGCTGACGTTACTGAGCCTAAGAATGTCGAATATTCTGACGACGTTACAGATAGCGTTGGTATGTATTTGTAACCACTAAAAATATTAACTTTTTTTTTCTAAGACAAGTAGGGCAGTTAACAATTCAAACTAAAGAAGCATGAAAATAGAATTAATGCTGTAGAAATGTGTTGTCATGAATTCAATAAAACTTGAACTCGATGGGATGATGATATAAATTCCAAAAAATACAGCCCACATGGGTAGATAATACAGCGTTGTTTTATAAAATTTTATGTTATAGGAATGAATTTGTTTTATTTAACAACGATATTAAAAATATAAATATGGACGTGGAACGCAACTGATAGCGTCAGTCGAACCTTTTTTTTTTGGTGTATTTTTTAGCCTGCAGTTTCTTGTTGGCCAGTATGTTTGTAAGCGTTAACATCGTCCCTGCGTCGGCAAGGGACGCTTTAGACAGAAACATGTATGTATGGATGTGAAGGAGTCAAGAGAGGGATGTCAGGATCGTGTCAAATGTAGACTACGGATTAGAGATTACGGACGTCTCTACCTACCCATCTGGGTGACGGGTGTCAGAGTTTATATATATGTATATTTAGCTATGTCTACACCAATGCACTTTCCTGTTCATCATGCGTCTTCCTTTAACGCATGCCTGAGCAACCATAGCGCATGCAACAGCGCGGGTATAGACGATAAGCTGCATGCGTCTTATGGCAAAATGAACATGAAAGTGAAATTGAAAGCGCACTGGTGTAAACATAGCTTTTCTCCTTCTTTGCATCACGTATTTCATTTTAAAAATTTACTCACTTTTTGCTTCGTATTAAGCTATTTTCCTAAACTTTGAATCTATTTATATTTTTTATTGATTAATTTACGCACATACACAATACAGATATGTACGAAAAAATGTAGTACGTAAACCCACCACGCCATACAGACCTTTGGGTATAGTAAAAGGCGACTACGTGAAAGATCAGAATGACCTCACGGCCTTTGTCAGATCCACCATCTCTTATATCACAGGTGATAAATATCAAGGGTGGTGTTGAAGGGAAAATTCAATAGTGCGATACACCTGGTTCTGCAGTAGACAAACGTTGAGGTAAATCATTCGTAATCACGGTTAAGGTAAATTATTCCTAGTGAGAGTTTTAATGGGGCCCATATTCAGCTGTTCCGTTACGTTCCGTTTCGTTCCAGCCTATTAAAGTCCACTGCTGAACATAGGCCTTTCCCATAGATTGTCTCATAGGAAGGGGGGGGAGGGGATATTTGACATAGTTTCCACGTTTGACGAGCGGGATTTTCGTGTTTAGTCGTTATTAGAAAGATGCTGCTTCCCATCTCCTATTTTCTTTTCCTTTGTCGCCTCTTACGACACCCACGGGATGATGTGTGGTAGTGGATATTCTTACACCGCTCAGGGGTGACAACATATTCTGCATTTTGATTCTTAATCGAAGATAGATGTAGATGTCTTTATATATATAAAATTAAATAATTCTATTTTCTACTTGCAAAGTTCTGTAACCTTTGCGATCCCCTTTTCCAGATAAAACACCTTCGACTCAGAACGATATTTCTTTGGAGAAACAGTATAAAGATGATTGTGAAAAGATAACTAAAGCCATAGCACCGTTAGAAAATATTCAGGTATTGATTTTATACATTATTAAAAAGGTAAACATTTTTTTTAAACTGAAGTGACAAACGAACTAACAGCCTATCTGATGGTAAGTGGCTACCTGTGGCGGGTTATAGTTAAGCCCACGGAATATAAAAAACAGGTTTGTTTGTTTTTTATATTCCGTGGTTAAGCCAAACTAGCCGCTTGCCTAGAGGCGCAAGATTATAAAGTGGCGCGCGCTAAAGTTTCTGAACGAAAAAAAATTAAGTAAGTATTTACATACTTATCTATACAAAAAAATAAAATTGGAGTGTCTGTTTGTAATGTCAAAATAACAACTTTTCACTAAACGCATATGAAAGTATATACAGTACTTATAACGAAAATACAATTTTTAAAATTTTTAAAGTATTGTTTTTTTTTTAATTTTTTAAGATTTTGATGCGACTTTCACTGGCAGACAGCTGATGTTATAACGAGTAACTTAGGCTTCTTTTATTAAAGAATTAGAGTTCCCCGCAAAAAAAAAAAATTGAAAACCTAAATTACACGCGGGCGAAGTCGCGGGGAACAGCTAGTATAACATAAAAAAATATACTTTCTACAAAGATGTCGAGCTTCCAAAGCGCGCCCCGTCTACTTGATTACTCCTACATCGCCCTCACAATCTCATTACGTTTTCCATTCACGCCCACATGTTACTTGTCTTCATTATTTTGCAACCGAACAATACGATAAATTATAATATAGTTTATTGGCAAAATAAGTAGGTATAATTTATAATATATGACTGCTAGACGGGGGCCTATGAGGTGCTAGCCAAGGACGCCGTCGATATTTAATGCGCCTATGGTGGCTACTGCAATCCTGTCAACGTCTACAGCTAACTTCAAACAAAGAAGACTGCAGACAAGTTGTCATCTCTGAGGCTTAATACGGAATGCCTTACAGCCTGTAATTGCCATTTATTCGAGATATCAATTTTACGATTTACCATTTGCAATTTTGAAAATAGTGAGCATGATATTACTTAACCACCTTCTACACGATATTAACAGTGGTAGAGCCACGCGGCAGCTTTTGCTGTCGCACGGATGGGCCGGCTCGAACCGGGGTGGTACCACGACCTCACAGAAAACCAGCGTGAAGTAGAGGTTTACCTCTGCGTTTCGCTTGGTGAGTGCAGGTGGCCGGAGGCCCTTTTTACTGGAAATGAGGCATTCCATCTTAGTCCTCACGGGTGACAACGCATCTGCATTTTGATTCGCAAACGACCATCAGGTGGACTGTGTGCTCGTTTGTCACCCTTATCCTATAAAAAAAAAGATATTAGAAAGTTATTCCAAGTGTACAGGGTTATTTTTCAAAGAGTAGCCAAATTTTAAACTCAAGTTCAAATGTATAAATAGTGTTGCCCAAAATCGGTCTTGGTCTTGCAGTCTTGGTCTTGTTCTTGCATTTTTGCAAGACCAAGACCAAGAACAAGACCGCCTATTTTTAGCAAGACCAAGACCAAGACGGACCGTGCAAGATTTGCGCAAGAACAAGACTATGCTTGCGAGACTCTTGCGTCTTGCATTTAGGACTGAGTGTCGTTTGAGGGAGTATAGGAGTTCGGGTATACGCTTAGGGACTCTATGAGACGCAAAAAAATATAATAAAAAAATAGGAAATTGAACTTATGCGTATTACGAACAATACCATGACCATTAGCACTTTGATAGTGCGCGGCGTCTTGTTGTCGGCGTTATGACAGGTCGGATACTGACCTGTCAAAGAAATTGTGCAGCTATTCGAAAGTACAAGGTCAAGGTGCCGGCGGGTACTATTGATATCGCATACAATCGTCGCCGCCGCGCCGCACGCACTACATCTGACACTGTTTGATTGCCGCCACAGAGTACATGTTCCAAAGAATAAAATAAGTTTACGGGTGCTCAGAGTGGACACGAATACGTTATGCTGATCACGCAAGGAATATTGTAATTAGATAATGGTAAGGATAGGTAGATATCATAAAAATTTATTCTAGTAAGTAATTATTATAACATTAACTATATGGGTTTATAGTAATTACTTACTATTATTATTATTAGTACCTAATAGATAATAAGTTCACTGCAACTCTCGACTTTTGGAAGTGTATGTTTTTAAAACACAAAGTGCTCGAATATATCTTCACCCATTTGATAAATATTGTAGATACTTTTAAAACACTTGAAATGTGTAAAAATGGATCTGGATCTTGTCTTCAAGGCTTAGTTATTAACGAGTTGGAGGAGTACCTAGGTAAACCCAGAGCCGCCAGCTCGGAAGACATTTTAGAGTGGTGGAGGACGCATGAGACAAAATATCCGATTTTATCGAAGATGAGCCTTGATTTTCTTTCAATACCTAGCTAACTTCAGTACCTGAGAGATTTAGAGAGATTATTTTGTAAAGCGTCATTAGTAATTAGAAAACATAGAAATAGGTTAAGTGATGAGTCAGCCGGATGGTTACTTTGTATTAATGCTTGGTCAAAAGAATTAATATAAAGTAACAGTAATGTCAAAGCTATTGTGTACTGTGAAGTAATTTAATTTGTATCGTATTTTATTTTTTACTAGCTGTTCCTTGCGACTTCGCCCGCGTATTATTTGGGGTTTTAATTTTTTTGCCCGGAACCCTATTTCTTTTTCTTTTTCTAAAATAAAGGTAGCCTAAGTTGTGACATCAGCTATCTGCCAATGAAAATCCCGTCAAAATCGGTCCAGCCGTTTCGGAGATTAGCCGCAACAAACAGACAGACAGACAAAAACTTTAAAAATTGTATTTTTGTTATTAGTACCGTATATACTTTCATATGCATTTAGTAAAAAGCTGTAATTTTGACATTACAAACAGACACTTCAATTTTATTTATTTGTATAGATTTAAATAAATGGTATATTGTATAACTCTTTTATTCCATTTAATATATGGTGAGGGTCCATCAATTTCTTTCTAGACAGATAATGTTCTTTAAAATACAGTAAAGTTATTGCCATTAATTCGTTTTTATATGTTTAACCATGTTTTAGCACATGTAAGCTTATTAAATGTAAACGTTTATTAAGAAATAGACTGACGCCTGTGGCTGTGGGACACGGTAGATAGCTCAGTCCGTTAGAGCATCGGCACGGATCGCTTAGGTCGTGGGTTCAAACCCCACTCGGTGTCAGTCGATTTTTCGAATTTCTCATTAAATGTTTAGACATTTATTAATTTGGTTCGTCTTTACTATGGCTATGTTAATTCAAGCTCATAATGTACCTACTCTGTTAAGTTGTTCTAAGATCTAAAGTAACGTTTAATAAATAGTAATAGGCTAATAGGTAATTGCGAGACTTGCAAGACTCTTGCTGCAAGACCAAGACCAAGACCAAGACCAGGTGTATTGGCGCAAGACCAAGACCAAGACTTGCTAAGTCTCGTCTTGTTCTTGCATTTGGGCAACACTATGTATAAATAATGATATACCGATAAAAAACTAATGGTAGGTCCAATTGTGCATGCCTTAAGCGCGTTAAAAAAATTACGTATAACATGATTATACCTTAGTTTTTTAAAGTAGTTTAAATACACACGTTTTCACTAATAACCTTATTACTATACTTACAATTTTCCGATAATTCTATGTCAAACTGCAATTTAAAAAAAATTTGGAAAATGCAAAAATACACGATTTATATTACTCATATGTTAGTGGAAAAAAAAATGTAAATTGTAGTTCTATTCGTTAAAGACTTCCTGTAGCAGTCACCGAAGTACACTTTCTACTCATTCCGTCAAGTCCGGAGGTAAGGTCTATTTATAACTAACAAAACGAGCCCAAAATCGGCACACCTATTACTACTCGTCGAGGAGTTCCAGTAGCATTCACCGAAGTACACCTTCAAATGGGGGTAAGATCTCATCATAACTAACATAACGAGCATAATCTCAACACACCTAGTTCTACTCGTCGAGGAGTTCCAGTAGCAGATATTGAAGTACACCTTCAGGTCACTCCATAAAGTCGAAGACGTATTTATGTATATTTATACTAGCTGACCCGGCGAACTTCGTACCGCCTAACAGTCGATTCTTTAATTTTTTATTATTTTTTAAATACTTATTCTGCTATTCGGGACAGCGGGTCAGCTAGTAAGACAAAAAAGAAAAAAGAAAGTTAATAAGTCAACAATTACATTATGTCAAGAAATAAAAATTATAAAACACTTTCTTTTGTATGGCAATATAGAAAAGTGTTGTTTTTAGACTTTTTCAGGCAATGCTTTAAATGTTTCTCTCCGTAAGAACCATCTTTGTACTTCAAGGAATATTATAAAAAAAGAATTAGCGAAATCGGTTCAGCTGCTCTCGAGATTTGCGGTTAGCAACACATTCAGCGATTCATTTTTATATTATATATATAAATCCTGCGTACTTCTAGCGAAACAAAATATTGTAATAAAAATCTGTGATTATAAAAATAATATCTTACCTTAGTCAAGTAAGTATCACATTTGATTTTTGGAATATTTTGTATTTCTGAAGCGATCGATATTTTTCAGCACGAACCGCTGTAAACAAACGATCACTCTCGACACCGGGTGAGCCCGGAGTAAAAAAATAATCTGTAGCCGGGAGTGAGGCAAAGTGTTTTTATTAAAATAAATTAATACAAAGCTCCTCAAAACACCGACAATTTCGCTATTTCTCAGCCGAAAACACTTAATTATAACCAAACAAAACGAAATTATACTGCCATTTACATTCCATAGCTTCCCACATGACAGATGAAGAGTTTAAAAAATAGATTGAATTGAACAATTGATGTTTTCATAAGTTATCGTGTTTACGCCAACATGGGGACTTGATAATTCTCCACCTTATGCCACTAAAACCGTTTTTTTTATGTAGAAATAGCAACTGATCTATTTACAAAAAAAATTATAAGTTCAACAATAATTCACCTTTCTGACAATGTGCTTTTATTTTTTCTATATCATTTATATGTTCA